CCACATCCTCTTGTCTCATCAGTACAGAACTGAAGAGTCAGTGGTTGTCGTAGAGGAAATAAAGCAGGCTTCTTAACAATATTAATTTACCCTGTTGTGTGCTAAATATGAAGGTTTGAGAATATTTTGCCCACAGAGTCTCCCAGGCAGTGCCTTGGTAAGGGAATCTAGAAAAGTAACTGGCTGTTGTCCATTGTGTGTCTTAGGGCTCTGTGCCATTTAAAGCTGTTTTTCTCCTAAGCCATTTTTTATTCAATTCAAGGTGCTTTATTGGCATGACCAAGGAGTAAAATCAGTGTTGCCAATGCAAAACAAATACATTGCTTTTCGGTATTGGCCTATTGACAACTTCAGCTGGGAGGAGGGTGGGTGTCCTTCGTGTTGCTGGTACTGTTTTTGTCTGATTATTAGGCATCAGTATAGGGTGAAATAAGGACATTCTGTGACTTTCAGGCTTCCATGCTCGGGCACATCCAATTGATGTGGTAATAATTACTGTTAAGTGGATTAATGCGTGAAGCAAGCTAGATCTGTCAATAATTTCATTCCTCTTTAAAGATCAGGAGGGAAGGGAGTCCTGTGTACAATCCCATGCTTTTTAACAGGTGACCTATTACGGAAATCTAAAACATACTAATACATTGATAATCAGTGAAATGCATTAAGCTTTTCTTTCATTTATACTGTAGCTGCATTTTTTCATCATTGATCCATTTCTCTGTGCTTCATGGTTAGTCATGCAGGATATATTTTACAACACGTAAAGTAGTTTTCATGCTCAGACAAGCAGCATGTGCAAATAAATAAAGGCATTATCTGACGGACTTTTCGATAGTGTGCTCTGTGTTCCAGAGCTTGGTAGGAAGAGGGAAAATGGGCAAATAGGTATTTGTCCAATCATATAATGTATTTGAATACTGTACATACTGTATGCTAACTGTACCCCTGCTCTGTTGTTCTGTTTGGGTTTTTCTTTGGCCTCATAATAAACCAAAAATCTTAGGCATTTCTTTAAAAAATAAAAATAAATTACTGTGCATACAAAATTCATGATTTAGCATGCAGCACTTTGTCCAGGGCTTGAACCACAATATAATTAGTTTGCTATTTATTTTTTTGTTGAGATTAAATAGAACAGAGACAACCAGAAAGCTGATGAAATTGATTAGGATTAGTGCCAAAATGCGCAAAATTGGGTGTTCAGAGCACAACCCCCCCACCCCCGAAACATCTGGATTAGTTGGGGATATTTTATAGAAATACTTGAATAATATATTGGAATGCTTAGATGCTTAGATTTTGGAATCTGAGTCATGAATAATCATAAACTAAGAAGTAAAGGAATAATATACAGTGTATGTATTGTTGAATTTGAATTGAGGGTACCGAATGAGTGATTAAGGAACTAAGATCATCCTTTCCCTAACCTGACTGAATTCATGGTGGAGATCTGCCGATGTATGTATCTCCATTGCTCTGGAATTTATTACATTCTCTTTCCCCACAACTCTTGTTTCCAACCCAAGATACAGCATTTTTTATCTGTGCCTTAGAAGTAGCAGACTACTGACAGCTGCAGATTAGTATGCTGCCAGTGAGATCTAACTCAAGTTATTTTCTGGGGCATTTAAAACATTTCTCAAGCTGTCTACAAAGACAAAACACAAGATCTAGAGCTGCTGTCTGCAGCAACATGCATTGCTTCACCTGTTGTTTGTAGTGAACATACTGAAATGCAAATCAAAAGCACGATCCTGCGCACAACATCGGCTTCATAATATTCTCCTTTTATTGTGTATATCTACAAAAGAAACATTATTAGTTTAGGTATGATAAGACCAAAATAAGTGTAGATTGTAATATTTTCTTGATGGAAAATAATATGTGGTCAACCTGTTCAGGCTATTAGTGTGTAAGTTTGTCTCAGTAACTGGATTCACTTGTGAAAAAAACAAAGCATTTCACTGCTTTTGGCCTATGTATCCTGCAGTGCACAAAAGGCTTGTCAGGGCTGGTAGCCATGGTAAAGTGTCTGAATTGGTGCACATTGTGGGTTCTGCATCTACTTCAAGGCTCATAGATAACCACTGCATAGAAAACTCTTCCTCAGCAAGTAAAGCTTGACCATGAAACTTGCCTTTCTTTTCACTCTCGTGAATTAGCGTGTCTGTAGAGCATGCACAGTTCACAAACGTGTTCTCTTTGATCTTTACTCACCCTTGAAGGTCACTTTAACTGCAATGACAACTGAAATAAAAGCGTTATTCCACTATCCGCGGTCTGTGTGATACTGTATAAAATGAATTGAGTTTTCTTTTTACACTTTCTTCTCATTCATCGGTTTCCAATAAACTAATCCCAGCCAGTGTCAAAGCTTCATTGGTTGAAGGAACATATATACTGTATGATCATAAAGTGTGGACTTCATCATCTAAATGTAAACATAAACGTATTTATAGGTACCGAGTCCTGGGGGAAATAGGTGTAAATGTTTTTTCCTGATACTTAATCTTTGCCAACAATATTAAAGAATAAATGCTTGAGGCAGGTACGTAAAACGACAGCTGTAAAAAGAATGTCATGTATGTAGAATATATTGGTTTATATTTAGAGTGTGTTCGATCTCTGAATGGTATGTACAGTAATACCCCCCCTCTCTGATTATCAATTTCGATTTTGAGGTGCATTAAATAATTTGTGTAATGCTAAGACTAGTCACATGCCCTTTATGTATCTATTATGAGAATTTGAATAATCTGACCTCTAAAATGGGAAATAGTAGCTTCTGTTCTCAGTGCAACAGCTGCACACTTTATGTCAGCCTAAAAGCACAGTGTGCACACAGTATGCTAGCCTCCAACCTTAAGTCACCCCAGGTGACTTAACTGTAAGGTATGCGTTGCTGAGAGACTATGCTTGGGTGCTCCCAGTGGGGTAAAGATTTGTCTAAGTACGATCACAGTTGCTAGGGGATACACTTCTTTGTGATATCTGAGCTCTGTCTGTTCTGGGTGCAATGGCAAAAGATAAGCAATGGGCTAGATATCATGTTTACTTTCTTACAGGTTTCTCTTTTTTCCTCACAAGTTTGTCACAAAATGGGAGAGATGATTTTAACAATAATTCCAAATGGTGGTGTTAAAAAGTCAGCGTATGTCTTATTGGATATGGAATGGCTGTACTATACTTTCCAAGTGCTTCAAGGAACTTATAGAACTTATAGACAATATGACATTTGTTTTAATATTAGTGATTTAGTGACTCAGGGCTGGAATTACAGGGCATAAAAATACAACCTTGCTGACTTTAATGGCTTCTATTAATTATGATTACATCTTTATATCTACCTGCTCTTTGTTATTTATTAACTATGCCAAAAGTGAGATACCAAGGTGGATGGTCATATTTTTTAAATACATTTACTTGCTTTAAATAATTGGAAAGGAAATGTTAGAACTTGCATAAATGTAGTCGACTATAATGACCAAATAAGTTTAATTCTGAATATTTTAATATCTGTGACTAACCCTCCATACCGTATTGTTAGATTTTATTGCATAAGAAGGTTATTTGAACAAGGTTTTTAAACCTAGGAATGACAGTAAGTATCATTTCTTGTCATAAACCTTCCTCATGGGATGTGTGTTTATATCTAATTTTCCTGGTATAATCTGGTGCATTTCCAGCCACAACCTTTCCCATTTCAAATGTGCTGACATCTCCACTAACTACATATGACATGTTTGTGCCATCACTTAAATGTTTTCATTATGATAAACTCGTAGGAGATTAAGACATGAATATACTGTATATGCACTGTAATACTTTTTAACCTTCAGTTGTTTTCTTTAGAATGAAGGACAGGAGAGGAAAATAGTCACGCATTATTGATCCCTAGAATTATTTTAAAAAGAAGGCTGCCAAACAGCTCTATGATCCTTTACGTACGAGGATTTTGTGGCACAGAACAAAATGCACCAGTGTATATTAAATATTCGACTTATTCATTTGTCATAGGGATAAGAAGATCAGCTTTGGGAATCCTTAACAGAACCCATATCACTGTTGTTTTCATTAACCTTCGTGTAAGCAGAGATGCACCTTTCAGGGGAAGCCTATTGGCACTGAATCCCCGAATTCAGAACATAATTCCATGAGGGAAATGGCAAAGCATAAAAATGAGCACTTTGTAATTTTATTGTAAGGCCATAAAAGAAAGACGCTTGCAGTAACTCCTCTTCTGTGTTGGAGAGGGGCTTTGTGCTTGAGACACTGTTTCTTTTCTCTAAAATGTAATCCCTTTTAGTAGGTCTTATAAATCTTAATGCTGGGACTGGCACATCGACAGCTTTTGCTGCTTTTATGTTCTTGGATTTTATCCTCCTAAGCCCGTGTTGGTTTCACGAGATTTCCTTTCCACTGGTTGCCTGAACTTCATTAGGTGGTTTAGCAGTATATTCCTTTTATGCTTCAAGAATGCTTTTATCAGGAGTCTGAAAATTACAATTTGAGTATGGAAAAAGCAGCATTCAGAGATATCGCTAAGTTTGTTGTGTACTGTATGGCACTTCTTTCTTTAGATTCACTGTTAAGTAAGGATCACTTTGCTTGTGAAGCACATGACTGCACTTAACATGAGATTTAGCAGGTGCAATAGAAGACTCAATTAAACTATGAAGGCCGTTAAAAAGTTACTGATAGAAATTCTGGGGCATTTTTATGACTATGAAACAATGAGAATATCCCCTGGTTATAGGCTGTGTTATAGGTTGATATCACATTGGTGTAAAATTAAAAACGAAATCTGCATTAAGATGGAGCTCATATCTGCTCTATGAAATAATTTAGCTGACTGGTTAAAGAAATGCTGTGGACAAAGTGGAGGTTAATTCATCCCAGACAGAACTGAATTGTCACACAGTGCACATTGAGTTGTTTATTGAACTGGAACGGTTGTGCAAAGTCCGCAACATTAATGATGTGATTTATTTTTCATCCAGTTTGACATGCAGCGAATAACACTGGAAGAACTCAAGCACATCTTGTTTCATGCTTTCCGGGATCACCTCACAATGAAAGACATTGAAAACATCATCATCAACGAAGAGGAAAGCCTGAATGAAAACTCTGGAAACTGCCAAACGGAGTTTGAAGGAGGTGAGTGAGGAATCGGCATGGAGATTTTCAACACACGTAGCTCTCTAGCCACTTTATTTAGATCTGTCTTCCCTGTCAGTAAGCATTGAGGTTAGGCTTTCACAATCAGCCTCTGTCAAACAACTGTACTGTACATTGTCTTTCACTGATGATGCCTTTACAGTACTGTATGTAGTGCTAATTAAGCAATGTCATCAGTACAACAAGCGATGAAATAATCGGCAGATTAAAAAGACAAGCAGGGTCCTTTTCTTTTTTTTGCTTTCCTACATTAGCCTTCAAAGCTGTTGAAAAATATTGAAGAAATAGTGATGAATAAATATTGCTAAGTCCCCACAGTCCCCGTGGAATTAGTTGTGTCACTATCTGATAACATATTAGTAATAATTTAAATATTCATATTTTCTAGTAAAGAGCTTTGAGTCCAGCAGATTGTTTGCTAATAGCCACTAGAATGGAAATTAAAACCTATTTTTCAGTATAAATTACATCTACCTTTTCAAAGAGAGAAATAAAATCTTCCCATGTTTATTCAGATCTCCAGCACTCCTGAAACTCACTGATGAATACCCTAATAAGTCATGGTTTCTGGAAGCTCTGGTTATTTATGAGCAGTTGTCTTTACTAATTAGACACTGACTTTGTTAATTTAAGGAGAATTTGGGCAGACAAATGAAATTTCAGTCTAGTGCGCTACATGGTCTTTTAAATTGAAAGCACCATGACATGTCTGTCTCTACCTGGAGAAAGGCAAATGTATTTCAGTACTGGAGGATCACAGAATTTGCTGGCACTCTGCAATGTGGTACATAGACTGGTAAAATGTTTTACTGGGTTGCATTGCAAAATTGTCCTGCAGGTTAGGTTTGGTTTTGAAGTGATACAGGTATGTCATTTATAACATGCCACATATTTAGCAATACTGTCTAGTCTATTACATTTTCCACTGAATGGAAACTTCACTTCAAAAAATATTTAAATACCTTATTGTTGTCAAAACTGGCACATAAATAAGTTCTGAGCAATAGCCATTTCTGTCGAAATTGCACAAAATCTTGAATTGCATTCTTTTCACAAACCACTCAAACCATCCCTTTACCAACACCATTACAGATCTTCTTTAGAATTGCTCAGGAAAGGGCAGAGCCTAAAATTTCTGCTCTAGCGTTTGTTGATTCTGAAGTGTGATTTTTTTAATTTGATGAGGAACCTTATTTTCCATTGAACCTTTTTGTTATAAGAATATTCACAATCCTCTAGTATTTTTTTTTTTACAAATTTCAAATCCAATATGCTTACTAGTTTGACAGATCAACCCTGTTTCAGGCATGATTATATAAGAACCTAAGAGCAGTTACAGAAAAGAGGAGGCTCATCGGGCTCATCCATACTGTTTGGTAAATGTAGAAATAAAAGCTGAAAAATGTTATATGGAGAAAGAACAGAACTCTCTATTAATCAGAATCTTCCAATTTGTCTGTCTCTATATTTAGAATCTTGTGTTTTGTGGAAGTGATCAAATATATCCGTCACATCAAGGGGATGATCCTGATCTGTTTTGGTCATACAGCATATCTGAATGGATTAATTACATTAAATAACTTTGCACCTGTCTGATATTAATAATGATTTGAGGCTCTCATTTCACTCCATATTCTCATGTTTACAGACATTTTGTTTTAAGTATTGGTTTTCATGAGGTGAATTGTTAACATTTATTTATTGGATATTCTGAATGAGTGATTTGTGTTTAATTTGTATTAATTACTTGTATTAGTTATGTTTTACAAATCCAGATTGGAATGTTGTAGTTGAATGTGCTCACCACCTATAACTTGCTTTTGAACTTGCGTTCTACAGCCACTTGAAATTAATTAACGGGATAATATAAAGTGTAACTGTTTTGACGCTTGAGGGTTTTAAATGCCAGTCATGGCTGTTCTTCATTTGCTCAGCACTAATGACACTGGCATACTTCTGCATCAGGGACTTTTTGATGTTTTGGAATACTACATGTAGTTCTGCAGCGTTTTTGAATTAGAGTTCTGCTTTCTCCTTCCTCATCTAATCCCATTGTGCATGTGTCCAGAAATTCATTAATTTGTTCATTTGGGATAAAAACTAATTTGGACATGAAAATGAAACACGCTATAAGTGAATTGGGAAATCTGCAGTTGGTTTGCACTCTTCCCAAGGTTGTGAGTAGCACATTGCTTTCTGATTGAACGAATTCTCTGGAATTCATACTTTTCAGGCTGGTGGTAAACTCCTGTTTATCGTCAGCGTTCTACAAAATGATTCCTTACGCTATTGAAAGTCTTGGTTGCCCTGGAGCAAAAGAGAGCTGCCGAGTTGGATCCTGTTCCAGAGGCTGAGAGAAATGAAAACAATATTGTGGAATGGAGCATGTTTGCAATTCCAATCCTCTTTGTTCCTTGGCTGCCTGAGTCTAATAACTTGGTTTCTGTTTCAGTTTGAACTGCATTTTCCTGGCAGATAAACATCTGAAACACACAAGCTGTAAGCACTGACTTATTTTGTAGAGTAAATAAGGGCACCCATGTCACAGACACCCAGCCTATTATCCATGAATCAGAACGGATATTGTTTTTCCCCTGAGTAAAAGGACTGGATGTACAGTAGTTCAACTGGAAATTGCTGAAATGTCTGAATCCTTAGTAAGAGAGGGAAACAAATTGTTCGCTTTACGTTTATTAGAGATTTGAGAAATGTCTTTTAAAGATGCAGAAAGTTAAAAAAAAAAACCCAGTGCTTTAAAATTCGTAGTGTATTTTTGCTTCACACCCAGTAATACATTTAAAGGTCAAACCCACACGCAGAAACACCTTTGAATTGCATTATTCTCTGCCCGCTCAAATGACCTTGTCCTTCTTGTGATCGTGACTGTCTCCTTTCCATTTTTTTCAGTCCATTCAAAAAAGAAGAACAGACAGACGTGCGTCCGGAAGAGCCTTATTTGCGCCTTTGCCATGGCATTCATCATCAGTGTTATGCTCATCGCTGCCAATCAGATGCTAAGGAATGGCATGGAATAGCCACAGCACTGTGAACAGGGCCTAACCATGCATGCGCATGCCAGTGGGTGAATTCATTTCCTTTTAGAAAAAGAAAAACAAAAATCGAACGAATCCGTTTTTAAGAAGAGAGAGGGTTGTTGTTTTTTCCCCCGCAGGTGGGTGACACAGAAAAACATGTCTATTGAGAATGAAGCCGGTAGTGTGACTTGTCTCGAGACTCAACTACATCTTTCTGGCAGGGACATAAAAGGGCTGTCTATCGCTTTTAGGGTATTTTGTTTCCTAATGCAATAACGTACAGGAGTTCTGAATTATCACTCCACCTGAGCTGTTGTTATTTTAAGTGTTTCAGGCTTCCAGTTTCCGTAAGCATTGATGCAATGTTGTGTACAGTAATCAGCAACTGGTTTGAGATTAGCAAGGGACAGTGCTAAACTATCTCTCCAAGAAAAATGTTTTCATTACTGTTTTTTTAGAATAAGCATTATGGTCCATAGCATTTTTTGAGGGGGTGTTGTTAGAATGCCTTCATATGTCAGATGTTTGATATCATGACTCTGTATCCATTTTTAAGATTTCTTTTAGCAAAGCTTTTAGTGCTTGCATTTGGGATGAACTGAAGGACTTACCTTCAAGGTTTTTCAGGCTTATTAATGAGACCTTTGGAATATTTAAGATAACATCTGTTTTCTCAGGTTACATTTGCTGGAATTTTATAGACTTTCTTTTGAGCTCAGGTCAAATGGGGGCCATGTTTCATCATTGTTTATGCATGTAATTGAATGAGACTTGGAGCTAAACACGACACTTTTAATGCTTATGTTTAATGCAAAATTGTGTTTTTGTTTTTGTACAATCACAGCTGCCTCTAGGTCTTTTGTTTCACCCATCCCAGTCTCTTGCTCATAACATCAAAACATCAAAACATCAAAAACAAATCCTCAATTAGCTCAGAAATGTTCAGCTTCATCTTCAAGAGTCTCAGTGTACTTGAGGTGAATGCGAACTCTATCAAAGGCTCGTTTAACACTATGCTGACTGGACAATTTTTACAGTCTGTTTCAGATTCAATTCTGACCTATATTTCTTTATATTCAGCTATATGTCCCCATATGAACTCACAGCCCAATGGCAGGGGCAGAATGCAGTTAATACTAGGGGTTCTGAGAATAGAGGTTTCTTTTGTTTCACTGAGCTCTGCTCCCACCTGCCTGTCTTGTCAATAGTAAAGACAACCTATCCTCCTTTAAAATGGATGCGTGTGCAATATTTCATCTGGAACAGATATTGCAAAGATTACCCAACCAAGCTTTAGATTTAATTTCTGTAAGGGCTGCTTTACCTGTATTGTCAAGACTGGAGGTAAGATATATTTGAGATGGTTTTCTTTTATTTTTCCTTGATGTGTTGTTTCAGTTCTCCATAAGCAAGCAAGGTACTTTATCAACCTTAAATATATTCCTTTTCTGTGCTTTTTGGGAACTATACATATTGGCTTGTTCTGAATGTTTGTTACGTGCATTACCATTAGCGCTTTTGTGACTTGAGTCACAAGAAAAGCTGATTGAAATTCAGCTGCAACCCTGACAACGGGTGGATTTTTGCCCAAAATGACCTGAAAGCAGAGCTTTATTGCTTCTATGAGCATTGATATATATATAGGCAAGTACTGTAGTATATTCCAGTACACTGGCCACTTAAAGAAAATGACCTCAGACGTTTTATTTTATTGGAGAACACAAAGAATCAGAAATGGGAAATGGACATATAGCAAAATGCAGGGATAAAATGATGGGAAAGAAAAGAAGTGAAATGATACACAAACACAAGGAGAAGAAGTTCTCCTTGGTGCAGTAGTTGTCTTTTCCTAGTGTGTTTTTTTAACCTTGGACACTGAAGCTTTTAACGAGGGTACTTCTGAACTCCTGTATAAACCTTCTTGGTAATGTACAAATTTTAACCACCTTAAGTTTTCTGAGGACTGCTTACATTTAATGCATGCTATTAATAATAAATCTGTATATACCCCTTATTGTATGACCTGTATCCAGTGTTATTTGATGATAATGTGCGTGCATGATGATTTGTGAGCCCTTTAATACGTTCTGCTCCTGAAGATCTCAGTAGTGTATGAGGGAGTTGAGTACTGATGCTGATGGCAGGAACACTCAGAAGAGTAACCTGTCATTAGTCTATCAATCCCTTATACAACCTCTGTGTTAAGCCATACAGCAGAAATGTATTAAACCTGCAAAAGAGTATGTATATATTTTCTAACCCTCCCTCAGAGCAAGCTGTTAAATTTGGAAACAGAAAATCAATTATTTTGTTGGCACCTTTTTTGATATTGCTATTTTTTCTCTCCGTTTTTTTTCTATTTCACTGCAAATCGACAACCAGCTACACTGTAACTGGCTAAGTAATGTGCTATTAAGTGCTAGCTTAATGTCATTTATACAATGGTGTCATCTGGTGGCTGTGCCAAAAATTACAGAGAGCTTCTACAGCCAATGTTCTACTGTTTTCAGACACAGAGTGGATACTAAGGAGATGCAAATTCTCTGGGCACAGCCGCAGACATTTGTGTGATACTTTGTACATTATTGCTTTAATGTTTTGCATGTGTTTGATCTATATTTTGCATCCACAATGTTTATTTCTAATCAGTTTGTGTATTCTTTTAGAGCAATTATTTTTTGCTCTTCCACCTTTCACTGAGAAAAAATAACATTTGCCTTCTGTGGCAGGATGGAAGAAATTCACACATGACTTAGGCCACCTATGTTGAGAAAAAATATAAAGATATATAAAGATTTTTAAAGGATTAAGACGCTAATTGTTTGACTTGGTTCATTGCTGCGTTCCTGCTTAAAATGAATATATCCATCTGTGTAGCTCCCAAAGCTTCCCAGAAAATATTTTCTTATTTATCACTAAAGGTCGACAGGATAGTTAGGCTGTTTGAATCCTATTGCTTTCTTGAGAGAAACAAAGGAGGTAGAAAGGGGAAGAAAACACATCATTCACTATGGAAAATGAAAGAAATGTGAACAATGAGCTTTTTGTTATGGATTCATATGCATAGGTCTGTTTCCTTTCATTTCTGCTACTCTGCTTTCTCTGAAGTTTGATCACCATTCATAGAACATGAACAGAATACTATTTTACCAAAACTCCTTCGAAATCACTCTTCTCATGAATTTTGGCAAAGACAGTGTTGGAATGGCGCTGGCGCTGTATGGTTTTTGGAACTCTGATGGCAAATGTTATAGTATAGATGGATGCTTTTAGAGTCCAACTGTTTTTCAGATTGGACAAGGAGCTGGTGCTCTTTCATCCTTAAACATTGGCAAAGCGTTTGAAAGCTTCTCTAGGAGTTATCCCTTTATTTCAGTGGGAGGGACAATTGAAATAGAAAACTAAGCAGTCTGACTTAAACTTCAGTAGCATGGTGGTTAAATGACAAACTATTGTATAAAAGTATGTACATAGTCTATATAAATACATATATATATAAATATATATGTAAACTTGGCATGCAGAGTATTATATATGTAGGCAATAGACAAGAAGGTATGATCATTGTTCTAATATGAATAGTAGAGAAAAAAGTAATAAAACAATTGTAAATATTTAAATCTGTACAAAAATAAATGGACAGCATTTATGCAATAAAATGAAAGTTTTTATAATGTGTCAGTGTTTCTTTTTTGCTTGTTTTTCTGCGGAATTCTTTTGCCTAAGTGATTTGTGCATTTGTGTTCTGGCTTTTCAGTGTTGGCACTGAATAGTATGTTGGTCCTGTTGTTTTTTGCTGCTATCCTGGATTGCATTTTGTGTAGGTGAGTGAATTTCTTTTCCATTTTGACTCTCATATTTTGCTCTGGGCACCAAGCCTGTGGAAGCCCTGCTAAAATGGGCTTTGGTTTTGAGTAAAATGTATCTGGTCTAAAAGGGGTCTTTGTGACAAGGTGGGGAAGTCTTTCGCTTGGCTTTGTTAATGGGATTTTTTCCACGTTGGAAATGTGTTCCAGGTGTCGTACAGGGAACCCCAACACGGGTTCTCAAGGGATGCTGTCCAGGTTTTACAGGTCCCACTCAACCTCCAGCTTCTTAAGAACTGGGAAAGGATACACTTTGTCCAGTTAAGCACGTAATGAGCTCCATTAGGTAAGTAAGGACTCAAGGAGAAGGAAAAACAGAATGCTTTTGGCACTCCAGGATGGGTTGTGTCTGTGTCAATCACAGTTACAAGCTTTTAAAATGGATTTGTGATTGTTTAGCAAACTCACAGCCCCCACCTTATCTTTGCCTTTTTGTAGTCTTTAAAAAATCAATCTAATCTTACACACTTACTCATAGTGGTTTGGGCACATGTTGTTGCCTGTGATCTATACCTGTTAGCTAAGCATAGTCGCTTCCAGAGACCCAAACCAGAAAGATCATTTTGAATCCGTAAAAGACAGGGTGGGCACCCGAGTCCTAAATCTGTTTATTGTCACGAGGCTGTCTACACAGGAACAGGCTATGTCACCTGGTGTCTAGGACTCTTCAAGATGGCTACCTGCCTTTTGAGCAAACCTGTCAGGAATCACCAGGTTTGTTGTTTTAAATCAAACTCTAAACCCAACCCAAACTCTAGCCTCCTGTATGTGGAGTGGGAACTCTACTACTGTATTATAGTCACTACACGTGTATATTGTCTGTATGTATGCATAGACATTCATGACAAAGGTATCTGGATGCTGCACATTCTTAAAAGGTTTTTCCAACATTCAGAGAAATTGGCTTTAAACTGACCAAGCAGCTCAAATGGATACGGTACAGCAAAGTAACCACAATACACTTCAAAGGTATAGAGTTTCAAATGACACGGTGGTATGTCAGGCATCTCTTACCTTAATATAACATCTTCCTTATCCATATCTTTGGAAGTCTTTCATGATAGTTAAGATAACCTCTGAGGGTATTCTGAAGTGTTTGATATCGTGGTACAGGTATAAAGAAGAGTCTTTACATGTGCACTGGTCACATACATTTGTCACTGGGGTGGGTGCTTATACATAACTATAACATCTAATAATTTGATAAGTTGATGTGCACCAACTGCATAATGGAAACAGAGAGGCTGTTGACTGACTACAGCTTCTTTCCTTAACATATGAAGCATGACACTAAACTATGATATTTTTCAGAGACAAGATTTCACCCTGATGTCATTTATTGTAGAAATATGAAAAGGACAACTTGAGAGCAAAACAAAGAAATGCAGACGCATTACTCCCTTGAAAGTTCAAGGCAGGTATCCAATCAAGGAGGCTATGGAGGTAGTCTGTTGCTTGCTGTTCATCAGTCTTCATTTTGCTTATTTTCACCAGTCTGCCTGCTTATCCCCAACACACACCATAAGGTGCAGTTTATTAGTGTGCCATAGTTCACAAAGCTAAATCAATTAGGGATATAATTTGTGCGTCATAATACTTTGGTTAATTTCTACTCCTGGTTTGATCACAACCCAGTAACAATTCAGTGGACAGTCCAGGCTAGTTGTTCCAAATAACCTCTAATACACTTGTCCCCCTATTATCCTTCTTTAGGATCTAATAAACAGATAATGCATAGAGCCTATGTACACATATGTACACGTAGGTGTGCACATGAGGTTAATTCTGACCCCCCTGTGGCTCTTGGGACTGTGCAAATCTCATTGGAACCTGCAGGAGCACTTAAGGTGTTTAGCTCATGTTGTGCTGTTGCTGGTCCAATGCAAGTCATGTAGCTGTCATATCTGGTTTCTTTTCCCATCACTCCTATGGGTTGCAAAATGCATCAGTTCATTTTTTTAAGTGCCTCTTTCAATTCTTTGTCGCGGGGGAGCCGGAGCCTATACCAGCAAGCAATGGGTGCAAAGCAAGGTACACCCTAGATAAAACATCAGGTCATTGCAGGGCACACAGAGACAAACATACACACAGCGCCACCAGAGCCAACTCTCCGTTCACGTTGCCCAATGTATGTTTTTGGAAAGAACAGACAAACTCCACACAGGTAGCATCCAGAATTGAACCCAGGGTCCCAGTGCTGTGAGATAGCAATGCTATCCTCTGCCACCTTCATAAAATAGGGTATCTCATTGAAAGAAAGTCCAAAAGTGCATGAACTCTCAAATCTCTGAATCTTCCTATAACATTAGGGCTCATCATCCAAAGAGCTGGAAAATGCATGCATAAAACCTTCGATAAGATAATGTGTGGTCTGCTGAAACAAAAATGCCTACAATTTTCTTTCCCAGGGGTAGAAGCACTTTTAGGTTGCATTGCTGGTTCAGCATGTTGCTTTGCCATGAAGTGCTTTTAAGCTCTGGTTGTGAGGAGAAAGCCCAGTACAAGAGTGCCATTCTGTTGCTATGGAGTGAAATCTACCAGGGAACAAAGTGACATTTCTGACTTGTCTCTGTTAGATCGCCAGTTAGTTTGGAAGAGAAGAAATGCTTTCAGGAATATGTTCAACTCCAGAAAAACTAGAGAGTGTAAGAACCTCAGGGACCTTCTGTCAAAACGCAGGACTGGACTGGTTGGAACCAGGCTGGTTTTTACACCATTACTGTGCAAACGTTTTGAATTAATACTCATGAATTAGTAAAAATAATACATTTATACAGTAACGAGTCTGGCCTACTACTGAATCTGAAAATTCCTACAAGTCTAACATTATCAGTTACCCATGATGAAGAGTTGCAGAATGTAAAATTACCTGTATCGTTATTTCATATGCAGGCGGGAATCTTAGGGACACATTTCTTCTTATTCAAAGCCAATGCTGCACTCACGGTGTGTACTCTTAAAAGTCTCAAGGGGCTTTCAGACAGAAGCTCTTTGCTTTGGCCATAGAGCTGTATCATTAGTGTCATAGCCTACATCTGGCCACAAGGGGGAGCACAACGCAGTTTATTACTTTCGGGGGAAAATTTACACGTTTGCTTGGTAGATTATAAATATAATTATGGACATAAATTAAACATGCGCACAAATGGGCATCCTTCATCTTCAAAAATAACATTCAATGAATTATTATGGCTAATAAACACAATAAAAAATATATATTTTAAGGATTTGCACCCTGCTGTAGTCTAGATTTCTGGTTAATCTTAATTTTAGAACATGAATATTCCCTGCAGCTCAATCCATCTGTGTTACAATTCATTTAAGGTATACTGTTTCTTAGCAATTTAGTTTTTCTTTCTAGATATGTATAAAATGAGTATCAGAGTCAGTGAAATTACGCAGGTGGGTGATGGCTGGGCTGATGGCCGATATCAGCTGTTTTCATTAACTCCTGGTGTGCGGTACGCTCACGCACCAGTAATTGTACAACTGTTTTGTGTGTAACTCGCTTTAATCGAAAGTTAAACTTAGTTAAATGTGACTTTTCACCTCGAAGAATTAAGAAAGTAAACTCTAAACTACGGTTTCGTATCATTATGCAGTGGAGAAACATTCGTGGACAGACAAGCTGGACTATGAATTCGGTGAGTCGCCCCCTTTCAAATTTCAACCTTTTCACTCCTAGCGTCTCATATCATGTGTTCTTTTTCTTGCAAAAAAGTGTTCAATAGTAGTGAGTTCAAGTAATATGGCTAAATTTGTATGACTGCATTCCCATTTACCTCCAGTGTAATGTGTTCGTGCATTTATTTGAATATTTTACTTCATATATCCTTTAATGAGAGTACGTACTGTATGTTAAAGCAGACCCTAAACCGGCATTATCACGGTTGCTGCGATGTTGAACAGACCGATCAGTTTGCCAGCTAGAAATTAAGTTAAATCTATAAAAAAAAACCCGCTTAAATCTATAAAAAAAATAGCACGGAGTTCATTGCAACATATTTGTAAGCTTTGGGTATATACTGATCAAGTACAAAATCTGATCCCCTTTCCCAGCTAAACCTGTGGAAACACACGCAAGCCGATTAGATCGGGGAACTCGCCGTGCGTACCAGCGCAGAAATCGAAAAGCTAGACCTCATGGCTCTCTCCTTTATAAGCCTTCATATCCGAGTAATTTTAATATCCTGGCTGTTAGTCCCGGCTTGGATTGGTTTTCGACAGTCTTTATATTTTTCTATGGCGATGTTAATTATATGAACTACTGCATTGTCACGAAAAAGAATATCAAAGTAAATATTACTTGACATGAAATTATGGAAATCCTTTGATCATTAGAACATTCCTAGAAATGCATTAATTCTAGGAAGAATTCTGTAGCTTCACGTGCTTCTGTGATAGTTGAGCATTATGTCGAGTATTTGCAACTTCATTAGCAAGAACAGTATTTACAGGACTACTGTATGTTTCAGCACCAAGGCCGATGTGTATTTTGCAGCATACTGTAGTTAGGATGTGCTTAGTTCCATGTAAACGGTTCAGCATATTGGAGTCGGCAAGCACCAGATAACGTAATTTTCATACATTCGTCGCAGGAATTAGCAATACTATTCAATCTAGCATCACGCAAATTCACTACATATTCAATATAATGTTTCTTTTCACTTAAGAAATGCACAGTACAGACTGCTGGAACTGTTGGAACTATTAATTCAACATTCCCCGGAGGATATATTTATTGAAAGTAATCTAGAATGTAATAATGATTTATAGCGAGATATATAATACTCCATATCTCAAGGAGATGCACTATTTTGTGAAACCTGAAATTTTTAGCAGCTTTCATTGAAGCGTAACGTACTTAAAAACTCAAGCAAACAAGCAGCCCTATGATGAAGTATCTCTCCCACCCATCCTTTAAATCCTTGTGGTGTACGTTAGAACCTTGATCCTGAAATGGCTGGGCCGGTGTATGCGATGAAATGCATGACTCATGATTAATCACTTTCAAGTAAATTACACGCCGCAACATCTCCACGCTTAACTGGGGCTGTCAGGACTGCTGGATTAACGCTTGCTTTGGAGACGGGGCGAGGTGTGTGCTGTCTTGGCATACTGTTGCGTAAAGAAAAACCTTTAAGCGATGGAAGAACTTGGCAAGAAAAAAATATCAAATTAAATGATGAAAAAAATGATGGTCGATGCGTTGCGTGAGCAAGAGGGACATTGTTGTGGGTATATTAATAATCACTTTTCATTAGCAATCAAGTGTTCTTATGTCTTTATTGTCAACGATTGTTGTTTAAAAATGGCTTTGGTCAGCCTACGAGAGCCACCAGTTTTTCCAGTGTTTTTCGGAAACTTGTAACCCTTTAGAAAAAGGCGATGTTTTCAAATTACGGTGTAGAGGCTAGGTTGCACAGGTGAGGAAGACAAGGAAGAATCTTGTAGCTTTTCTTTTTGCAAATTCCCTTTCTTGTCCTTCTGAGTGGACAGCTTCAGGTTATTTGGTGGCTGAAATGCTCACCTGTCACGAGGAGGCTGTAGAATGTCTATCTTAATTCTATTGTTATTCTCTCTCTAGATTAAGAAATGTGTTTATAATGCTCATTTTAAATCCTTTGAGAAGACCTAATTCGTGTTGAGTGGTAGTTTATATCCATCCCTCCATTTTCTAAGCACTTGTTCCAATTGGTTGCGGGGGCGCCCGAGTCTATCCCAGCAAGCAACAGGTGCAAGGCAGGATACTCCCTGGATGGGACACCCGTCCATCGCAGGACACACACAGACAAACACTCGCAGCAGGTTGATGAGCCCCTAGTAATCAAATACTGTAAGACAATGAGCCTGTTGGCCTTATTTGTAACATTTCTGATGTTGTGTATTCCACATCACACATGACAGAAAGGTTTGTATACTTCTTCACTCTTGCCCAACTCGGTGTCTTTCCATGTTGTCGTTTGTATGGCTGAGCTTCGTTGTATAGCTTAGTCACAAGGCTCACAGGGTGAGAGACGAGATCAGGTCTGATTCTGACCCCGGGGCACTCCAGCATCTATGCATTTGTATTTCACTCAGTCCGTGATAGATGTGTGTTTCTGCAGCGCTGTATATTTAGGATGACACTTAAGGAGTATTCCTTCCATTGCATTTGTTTTATTTTGGTTCTGGGCACCAAAGCTCTAAAAAAAGACAGCACGTGCTGCCTGAAAGCTTCTCCGTCTTTACACAACCTCTGCAATTCCCTGAAGAGTAAGACAACCACTGATATTGGGTTAGCTGATTAGTATGCGCTGCTGATCAGTTTTGATGTGTGCAGTGCTTGTTCTGTGGCAATAAAAAGGCTCCTTGTGTTAGAAGGATTTCGGTTTCTGAATTCATTAAATAAATGATCTGCCCTTGTTATCCTTTGAAGATTTTTTTGTGGGACTGGTTCAGAAAAAAAAATATACCCAGCTTTTATTGCGAACTAAGAAGGAATAGAAAAGTTTTTCCATACCGCCACAAGGTCCTTTTAACAGATACTGGCTATGTTGTACAAAATTCTGCAAGACTTTGGTACAGTACAGTAGAGGAAACTACTTGAAGTTTATCTACTTTTGAACATACTTATTTTAGCTGGAAGCAGCTCTGTACTATTATGCAATTGTAATGATGCTTTACCAACATGCAGTGTATAGTGTAAAGGTAGTTACAGGTAAGGAAGGACATCAGTGTGGAGCAGTGGTTAGGGGTCTGGACATGTGACTGGAAAATCAAGGGTTGAAATTCTTGTGAGACAGCCCATTATCACAAATGAGGAGAAATCTCCCTTTAACAGAATCAAAGAAGAATGGGACATCTTAATCATAAGTCCTTTATTCTTTTGGAAGACAAGTTTGACAAATATAAACCACAACCTGATGCACTCTTTAGTACTACACATTTACAATAATAACACAACCCACTAAAGTTAGCTAAACAAATCCTAAAATAATACAGTTTTTTAGTACCTGAAAGGGCGTTGCTGTCTGTGTCTTTTACTAGGAAGCTGAAGAGCCCATCATACTTCTTTGAGTCTAGTTATTCTAGAGAAAAAGCTCGTAAAGCTTCTTCTGTGGTGATTATTCTACATCTCAAAAAGCATTTCAGCAATTCTTGCAACAGAACAGAAAGTCTTAAAACATTTAGGAGAAAATATTAAAAAATGAAAATTCAGGCTTTATAAACAGTTACTGGCAAAGCAACATTTAGATCTATGTCTTTTTCTAATATAACAGAAACGCTAGAAATATTGAAGTTGGCAAAGCTTTTGCACACATAAGACAGGAAAGTTACAAGAACCTTAATATACAGTATATCGGTGTTTTAAAAATATATATTTATGTATGGACCATAGAGCAAAAAACAGTATAAATGTGTTTGTTTTTTTTCCGTTTTTGCAACAATATTGTAAATTTAATTTTTAAACATCACCTCTTTTATATGGTTCATTAAATTCAAATGAAAAAATCTGATAGTGTCAGTTGGTTTCGATCCAGTTATGATCTCCCTGAGCTTTGTTTGCTACCGTCCTCATTAGTTATTGTCGGTTATAGTGGTAGTAATAGTTTTAAGTATTTTGTTTAATAGCTGTTAATAGTACAGCTTTGAGTATTTTATTTTTTTCATTCTCTTGATTTATATTCATTACATTAAAACATTTTTAGCATTGAAAATTGTTCCCTTGCAGCAAAAACTGTGACTGTGCTGTGACAATTGTTATAAATGCTGTATAATGGGAGACCACCTGGAATTGGATTCTACTATTAACATGAAGAAGATTTTGGCTTTTCCTCTGTCACTTTTAAAAAGGAACCAAACTATTATTTGATCATAATTCTCTCAGCTTGAACAATATTTGAAACTGTTCATATCTTATATTGAAGGAAATATTATCAGTTTTTGTGTTAATATGTCGATTATTAAAAAGCCATTTATTCCTGCTTAGGGTCTCAACAACTCCAGACCTATCCCAGATAGGGCACAATGTGGGACTACATCCTGGATAGAATGACAGTCCATTTCAGGTCACACACATGCACACAGGGACAATTTAGAGACATCAGTTAGACTAGCCAGCATGTCTTTGGCACATGGGATCACCTGGAAAAACCCATGTGAACATGCAAACTCCGTGCCACAGTTTGCACACAGAACACACATCTGTACATCTCTTGTAGAGGGTCTGGAGAAAATAAAGATGACCCATGCTTGATGCATAAAAGGACCCATCTGGAATCAAGCCAAGGGCTCAAGACCTGTGACAGCAACACTAGCAAGAATGACAGTGACGAGGCAGTTAATCTGACCCTAAATGCTTGGATGTAAAAGTAGTCCAATGGCACAGAGCTTTTTGTCTGCAATTAATTAGCAACTGCTGAAACTGAAGATCACTTTCTAAAACAGAATCTAATGTAATAGTCACCTTGAGTAATGCATACAGTACCACAACAATCATTAAAATCAAATAGGCTGAGAAGTATTTCAAATAAAATTTTAAAATTATAATCACAGATCTACATTTTTTAGATTTTATTCAATACATTTAAATCCATAGAATTAATGCTGTTGATGGACTTCAATACTTGTCACCTCCAGATAAAACCTGTTTTATTAGACCCAAGAAAAGGACAGAGTTGTAAAGCATTCACCTCCTAAGACATCTTAGATCTCTTCTAAGCCAGTGTTTCTCAACCTTTCTTGGACCAGGGACCAGATCCTTAAGGCTCTCCTCCTCTGGGGAGTGCTTAGGCTAAAAAGCAGTTCAGAGCAAGACCACAATTTAATAAGTAATGTTACATCAGAGCTGTCCGTGGACCAATGGGTTGAAAACTCTGGTGTTAAGAGACAAATACAGCAATGTGTCAAGAATGGCCTTCATCGGCAAGTAGTTATTGCTTTCAAATAATGCAACCAGTACGTGTACAATGAGTACACATAAGTGCTGCATATAAAATAGTTCCTTGGTGGATTTTAATACACTACACTGTACGCTTGCTGGTCAAGAAATCTAGAACATCTAGATCATGGAAGAAAAAATAGACTCCATGTTTGATACATTATTTTAAAGTATCTCGCTTTTCAATTCAGAAAGAGAGGTCATCAGCTTTCCAAATAGCACAATTTCTGTTTTCAGTTTTTTTTCCACCTTGTTTGTGGAGACGTTTTGAGTCTATCAGTTCTCTTGAAGATTTTTTTTTACCACTTGAATCAACTGCTCCAGTGGCACGCGTCAACTGTCCAGAGCTGAAGGTTTACAGTATTTGACCCAGTAAGCCTTATAATAGATATGTCTCCTTCTGAAAACCCCCCCACATTGATCATATTGAGAGACCACCTATCCGAGAACTTGCAGAGACTTTCCTTTGCTCTCTCCTGATCAACCGTTTATCTTCTGCCTTCAAAATGCTCTGGTTAGAAAGAGCATTTAGGAGAATTTCCAGGCAAACGAGTTGAGAAAAGGCTTGTAACCATTGATCAAAGCATTGAACAGTCCCAGCCCGACACAATCCCACAGATTCTTTCCATTGAGTGGTCGATTCAGATTGAAGTTTCAGTTCCTTTCCCACCTGTCATCAATGTAGGAAAATCTGTATTCTGCAATTGTTTTAATTCTACAGCCCTGAACATACAAGTTAAAGAAAAGTCACAGCAGCCCTGTCCCCGAAGAACTCAAAAGGAAATCTTTGGAAAGCATTAATTGCTCGACTGAATCAGGTTGAAAATGGAATTCTTTAATTTGCCTCTAACAATCCCAAAGCTAGAATAAATGCCAGGAGGTCAGGGAGGAAGTAAGAATTCTCAAGAGTGTGTGAATATTAGCATACCTAAATTACCCTACTGTCTAGGCTAAAGACCTAACTGGTTAATGGAACAACAGCATTAGACTAGAGCTGTTCAGTCTTAAGCTTCTCCAAACCACTCCCCTGGAAAATTTCACAACAATCAGCTCCTCATTTCTTGAATTGATTTGAAAGATCGATACCTCAATCAATGGGACAGGCTGCACAAATGCCCAGCAAATCAGCACTCCACAGCGCCCCCTGTCTGGGAGATAGGGGAAATCTAAAAAAAATGCAGAAAGGCCCCCAACAAGCAGTCGATGTTGACCCAGTAATTGCCAGGAAATTTCCATTCTCAATTTAATGAAAAATCTCCTGAAATGAGAAATCCTTCTATACACTTGTAGGCTTTGTCTTCTGGGTCAGGGAGCTGCAAAACTCCTGCAGAACGTTTCCCCGTCATTTGCCAGTTCTCTCTCACCACTCCCACAGACAGTGTTCAGAATAGCTGTGGCTATTTAAAAGTGATGAACTTGTACTTGTTCATTAGAAATCTGATGAATGAATTCAGAAATTACAACAGTTTGTAGGCGTTTATTTTTTTTTAATCTGTACATCTGTTGTGGGAGGTCTATGGGGAAAAAATGATCCATGCTCGATATGAAAAATACTTTTTTTGAAGAGAAAGTGGGCGTTGATATCCTGTCACAAGTGCTTCAAAGAGTTCTTGATGGTCCACTTTTGGCCAGTGCAGGGCTGTAGAACAAGCAAGTACCCAAATCCCTCATTGGCGGGTGTTATTTCCAAACAACGACCAGTCTCCTTATTAACGATTGCTTCGTTCTGCAATTAGAAAATAATTACTTAAAAATAATTACTTGAGTTGGGTATCTTCTGTGTTTGTCATTCTTATTACAATAGTGTAAAAAACATAATGCAGTGTGGAAATTTAACTCTTATTAATTCAGTCATGTTCAGCTGAATGACTTTAATGAAGAAAATGCTGGTTTAGGTAATATGACCTGTAAATTCTAGTTAAACTGCAAATCTGTTTTTTAGTCCAGCTCTTGAGAAATCCAGTATCTCTGGCTTTAATTTGGAATTTTTGTATAGTTAATCCGAAAGTTTACTTGTTTTTTAATTAGATCTTTGTCTACTCTCTCCAGCCTTTGAAGAGATGGTTATAGTCATAGTTTGAAGATTTCAACTTTGTCAGTGATTAAAACAAAGTTCTCTTAAGGAAAAAACTTAGTTCAATTAAAGCAACAGTTTAATAGAGGAGGCCTCATCAGGAGGGAGTATCGGAGGACATGAGGACAGAGGATGAGGTGGTTGGAATTGGACTATGTGGACAAACCTGGGAGAAATGCCATGTTTTCTGCTGAAGGTGACTGATTTTCTCGCAGTCCAGAAGCTGAGGGAACCTGCTTATTTTGTCATCTACTACACATCGTGTATCTTCCCATATACTTCCCAGTGGGCCTAGATACAGGAACCCCTCCTTAGTGTACCTTCCAAGCTGGAAAACAGAATCCATTCCTTACTATGGTACTGGATTTGACTTTTTAAAAATCATATGATGGAACCATATACAAAAAATAAAAGCATGCTTCCTTATCACTGAATTCCTTGGTTTAAACCCAGACTCATGCAACTTTATTGGCGTTTCTTCCTAAGTCATATTATTGGCTTTAAATCCCAATTATTTATACCTACCCACATGCAGTAATAAAAGAAACCTGCCACAGAGTCATCTTGTATCTGCTCTCTAATCATGCACAGTAATACACAGCATAGAGTTTAGCAAGTACTGTAGGTCAAAGGTTTGATTTCCTCCTGGCTTTTCTTTAGTTTTAAAATAAAGACTGGTAGTAAGTAAGCAAGAATCAGTGATTTCACTTTTCATAGGAGATAAGCTCTTCAGCCTTTTTCTCGTGTAGATTTCTACAAGTAATCCAGTGATGTTATCTGATACAAGAATATTTTCTTATACTGTAGCGCTGTGCATGTTGCACACAAGCTCATGCAAGTTGAAACTGTCTTGCACGTTTGTTTAATGGGACTACTGGAGGAATTAAGATTGCGTTTCACTGATTATGAGTTAATTTATTGGCTGTGCATAAACATTGCTATGACTGACATAAATATTATATTTTCATCAGGACAGCATTAGCCTGGAATTAATCCGTTGCACTGAAAATCTTAAATTATATTTTAAATGTATGAAATACAGTAAGTTAATTGCGTATACAGTATGTGGTTTGATGCACAGAATCAGGTCTGTTATCCAGTATTTTAATAAAATGCAGTGTTCCTTGTTTTATAAGCCTAGTACATTTGAACTAAGTGATGTGAGGATACACTGCCTGCACACTTGTGACATACCATTAAATAAAACCTCTGTTACATTATTTCTTTAAACCTTACATCAGGTCTAGCACTTCTCAAGATCTGTTAGAAAATAAATGCAGAAACACTCACTTGAGGACTCCACCCATGACAGGGATGCAGAGTAGCTGTGTGATTTGCTTTGGGTCCTTGATCAACACACAGATGGGAGGCTTTGTCATTACGAATCTGTACCACAAAAGTAACATTGCAACTGAGGGTCAGTGTGACATAATACAAATAGTGTCAAAATGCTAAACTTGGCGAAAAGGACAAGGAAACCTTTCACAGCTCATTTGAAATTATTTCTTCTTCTTGTGCAGATGACCTCTTTCACTACCAAGCAATACCCTTTTCTCACTAAGATTTCATTTTGTATCATGTCACTTTAAATATTGTACTGCATTTATTTCTGCAAGAGTTCTTGCAAAATGTCACTCACCTCCCCATAATATACGGTATTATTGTATCTCCTCAGCTCCGGGTACACATTGTTCAGATACCACTCAAACTTTTTACACTGGAGCCTCTTCCTTAGGGCTACCCTTTCTGAGATATCTCCATAATCTATCCCGTGATTCTGGAAAAAAGCAAAAGTAGAACTAAACAATTTTTACCGTGAGCAACTGCTGCAGCACATTTCTGTAGTCTTTAGTTTTTCTCTAGTTCCTGCCTGTTGGGTAAAATACCTTTCATTTTGGTAAAACATTGTTTTTTTCTGTAAATGCTTTAATGTGTTCTGCTCACTGACGGCAGTAGGCTTTAAAACGAAGAGCTCTGTGCAATAAAAGAGTCCAAGAATATAACAAAATCAACTTCAAACGCTGCTAATGCACCATTAGAAGAGCCTCTCTCTTTCATGGCAGGTATTATCGTTACCTGTGGCTATTGTTATGCTTCACATCGGTGTTCTTCTAAAGGCCGTTTAAACATTCCTCTTAAGGCCACACGTTGTCTGGTAAGTGTGTAAATGAAATTTGATATATACATTCTGCTAACATGACCAAGTCTCGCACCGTACCAGCTACTGTAACGGGCTCACCTCCATGGGAATATTCCACGCTAGGTACACATGAGACTTGTAGTCATCCATCCAGACCTCAGCCACACGGAGGGCATTCCTTCTGGCATAGTACCCGATGTTGTTGTGATATGGTTTCTTAGTCCTGGCCATGTGGGCGACGCGAGAGCATGGCAGCACTTCCATGCTTCCTCCACACAACCAAACCTGAAAAGGCAAACGGGTAGTGTCGGCATTGCCAGTTCTCTCTAGCAAGTGTACATAGCACACCCTCTAGGGCGGTGCCCCTCAGGTCTAGTCCTAGGAAACAAGAACAGTCCAGCAGGTTTTTTTAGATCTTTTTATCAAGTGCATGATCAGACTTGAGGGTAAATGTGATCCAGTAAAGCCCTAAGTAGGCCGATTTTAACTGTCTTGCTGAGGTTTTGTTCTATTGATGCTGATGACCCTTGTGCTGTACTGTCTGAAAAACGAAATCGGTTTCCATGGGATTCCTTACTGAAATAAATGTTACAATATGCTGTGCATCAAAAAACGATGCCTTACAGCTGCCAAAAATTCACAAACACTATCCTGAAAGTAAAATATATATTTTTTGTAGTAGGTGCACTGACATTGAATTGAAGAGGCTGTATAAATTCCTTATGCCCATTGACATTTGTCATTAACAGGGAGTCTACTGCAACACTAACAGGCTCATCTCCTATCGCTGCTTTTGGAAGCAATCTGCATATCAGTGATAGATTCGTTGCAACAGGTTGCTGATGCTGTCAGCTGTTTTGTCCCATTGCTCACATAAAGCAGAAGCCTGTTCACTGGTCTCTGAGCATTAGAAGCCAAATGTCATCCCATAATGTTTCAATGATGCTCAAGGCTGACAAGTAGGCCATCCACAGCCTACCTGTCACATTTTCATCTTTTCAACCTTTGCTACAGAGCAGCATAAGTTCTGTTGATAACAGGCATACTGCTTGCCTTTTTTGATTTTCAGCAGGTTTGACATTAATCAAATCGAGTGACTTCATCATTTGTGCCCAAGCACCTTTTACACTGATAAGGAGATCTCATGCTTATGCACATCACTTGAGTGTTTGTCTTGAATGATCAATTCATTAAAATGACTCCCAAAACAATTACCCAGATTACCTCAAATACATATTTTTTTAAAACAAAAAATACATGTATAAAGTTTATTTTAAAGCTCAGGATATGAAAATTATTTTGACAAAAAATACTAACCTTGATGCCCAGTTCTATGTTCTCTCCTCCATATACATCCATACCAGAGTCAAGTAAACCCAGCTCCCCAAAATAACTCCGGTTAACCACAAAGGAGCAACCTATCATAGCAGGGGTCCTAACACATTGAAGCAAAAACAAAGCATGTCTAAATGTTTGACAAATGTTTTAAGCAGAAAAATAAATGACAGTCCTATGCAATTATTCCACAAGAATACTTGCTCTATCAGGTTTATGGTTTATGGCTAAACTCCATGCTTGCTGTCCCCAGTGCGTTATGGGATAGCCACACCTGACTACCGGATGACCACCAGTGCGTTATGGGATAGCCACACCTGACTACCGGATGACCATAAGTCTTCCCAAAAAATCCAAATAAATGCATTAATATGTTACAAATATTCAATTAATTTTCTGAATCTTCTGATACAAGTTTGTATTTAACCAATAAGCATATGATAATACTATTGACATTTAGTCCAGTTTAGGTTGTCCATGCTGTTAGAAACTCCTGTTTTTGACAGCCCTTCAGAGCTGTAATACCTGCACAGTAGGTGAGGACAGGGAATTCAGGAGTGTGTCTTTGGGAGATTTGTGTATCCAGTTCTAATTGCCCATTCTCCTACAGTCCACAAACCTGATTGGTGCTGAAGTATCTCCTGCATCCACCCATTGTTTCGGAGGGCTAATATACATACACCAAAGCTCCCAGTTGTAACCATGCCCAGAGTTTTCATACCGTTCCAGTTCAAATGTATCGTGCTTGATGTTATCAATGGAAGGGAGAATAATCCGCTTGTAGTTCTCTTTAATTCTTGACAGAACTGGTTCAGCCCTAGCAAGGAAAGATCACATGCATAAATGATGTATTTACCCTTTGAAAGATGCATTTCCTCTAGGCTTCACTGGGGTTCCTAATGATTATGAAACGTGAGCATGTAAATTAGGGAGTGGAAATTGCATCAAATTCCTCTGCCTTACTGCAGCAAGTGCATGATTAGCATGGTCTGTGACCAATACATTTAATTCAATTTTTTTGCTTCAGTTGACTGTTCGAAGCATAGAGGGATCATGTACAGTACAGAATATACTGTACACCTCGACACTTTAAGAGAGGACAAGGATTTTAAAACAGCCTTTACAGTAAATTGAGTCCCACTGTCTTCCTAGCCAGGAACTGAACCTTTATAAATGCACCCAATGACATTTAAGCTCTATGCACCTTTTCTAGGAGAACATGACGTGAATATACTTCGATAGAGGGGAAATTCATTAATAAATCTGGAAAATATGCAGTCAAGCACTGGAGACAAATCCACAAAAAGCAGAACCTAGTGTCTTATAAACAGTCGAAGGAATGCAAGCTTAATCGTTTAAAAAGTGGATGCGATTCTGCAGTCTAATCAGAATGTCTGAGCACTTGTAATTACTTTTGCAGTGTATTTAAAAATCTGCAGAGCAAGACATTTTTACTTACCATGCAGGTGTAAACTCCACATGAGCATCAAAGAACCCAGTAACCTCCCCTGTGGCAACCTTCCACCCCTCAATACGAGCGCGAATCAGTCCTTCTCTCTTGGGGTTTCGGACAATCTTGACCAAACCAGGGTAACGCTTGTTGACATATTCCTCCAGCGGCCCCTTCAGTTGTTCTGCCACAGATAAGGAGGCACCTTATATCCTATTGGATGACCATAAGAAAGGCCTTCCCAAAGAGTCCTTCTTAAATTACTGAATGACAATGAGTTATGCACAGTGTTCTGTTTTTGATTGTTTATTTTACATTATCTTTCCCTTTAAAATGCACAAAGCACTAATCTTCGCTCCCAGTTGGACAACTTGTTCATTGCCCGATGTGTACTCGAAGTAGCATTATCATTACCAACCTTAAACTACTTAAACATTTTCATGATTCTTGTGAATCACACCTCTAATTCTTGAGAGCTGTTGGATGTCTTATTCAACAATTGACAATATACAAATGCATCAGTAAACTGTAGGACTGAAATGTGAATTAAATGGCCTCTGGGATTAGTAAATGGTTTCACATGTAGGATTGAAAAGGTAAAACATTCAGCAGCTGTGATGTGAAGTGAGAAGCTGTTGTGTAGTTAGCTGTGTTTTACTATTTTTAACTTGACAACAAATGATCACTGCTTAGAAAATATATTTGCATGATGCTAAGCTTCTGATTTTAAACACCACAGCAAATGTGGTCTCCATTTATCGTATACAACTTGGAATGCCCACTTTTTGAAATGCTCCGAGAGTGAATCAGAATGCCACGTTTTCACTGAGGAATGTGACATTTTATAATGAACAGCGCCTTGCAGGAAAGAATTATACAGACCACAAGTGCAAGGTTATTTGTCTGCTCTTCCATATGAAAAAAACTGTGATCTCTTTCCATCTGCTGAGAAAGAACTTTGGCCACCTGCCATTTTGCGTTTGCCAAGAGTACAGTGAGAATAGAACTGTCTTTCTCAATACCAGATGCAGATGAATACCAACATTATATCAACTACAAATTCAGATGGCCATAATTTCACCCATGCAAACACAAAAGTTCCCACATATATATATATATTGGCTATCTGTTCCTAATATTTTCCAGTTTCTTACAAAGAGCAGGTGCGATTAAGTAAAAACAACAAACGCATTGTTCTTTTCTCCTTTTCTTTCTCATTCAGTTTTCTAATGAATTGTTCTAATTGAATTCATAAGATGTTTGTGCAGACTCTCTCGGAATGGATGCTTGCTTTCTTATTTAAACCTCTTGGCTTTATTTTGTGTAGGTAGGACAGCAGAAACAATTGCCTGGATATTGCTTCTGCTTTAATCCGTGATTTACCGTCCTCACTGTTGTCATCCACCAGGATAATCTCCTTGAGGAGGTGGGCTGGAGTGTGGTTGACAGCAGAGTGGACGGAACGCAGGATCACGGACAGGGCTTCATTCACAAAGATGAAAATGAGAGAAATCTGAGGAAGATTCCTAGGATAAGTCACTTCCTTGCATCTGAAAATACAGACACGGAGCACAGTCAGAGGTAATTCCCTCAGCCCGTCCGGTCAGGGAAAAGAGCATGTGTTATTCTGCAGGACTGCACAATAATGATTAAGTGAAGCACGCGAGGTGGCATGGTGGCACAGAGGGTAGCATTTCTGCCTTGCTGTGCTGGAGCCCTGGGTTCAATTCTAGACCTGGGGTGCTATCTGTGTGGAGTTTGTATGCTCTCCTCATTCATGTGAGTGGCGTCCGGGTGATTTGGTCTCCTCCCGCAGTCCGAAGACATGCTGGTAGTCTAGTTGGTTTCTGGGAAAATAGGCCCTGGTGTGAGTGTGTGTGGGTTTATATCTGTGTGTGCCTTGTGATGGACTGGTGTCCCATCCAGGGTGTACCCTGCCTTGCTCCCAGTGCTTGCTTGGATAAGTTCCGGCTCCCCCACAACCCTAAATTGGATGAAGTGCTTAGAAAATGGATGGATGTGTGAGTGATATTCTACAATTGTGTTTTAGGATAGAGCTTAAAGCAGTGAATGGTTGAAAATGGTTGCTCAAAGCCTTGTGTCACAATAGGAAACTGTCTGACAGCGAAAGCTATCCACCTCCATATCCCTCATATTCATTAATTCAATTGAAAGGTTTTATGTAATTCTAAACATGTTTTTTTTCTGGGATTGTTAGGTTACCACCAGTGCTTTTAAAAATGCTACAAAGAACAAAATCAATAATACTCTTCCTTGCTCATGGGAAAATAATCATCATAGTATATTCTTTGAACATTGCTTTTACTTTAAAAATTCAGATATGGATATATAGCTTGCTGTTTCTTATGTGTTTGATTATGATTTATCCATTATATTTTGCTTCTGTAAAGGTCCATGGGTCAGCTTCTATACAGTGGTGGCTTGGGACACCATTATTGATAATGTAGCTTAATGTGATGTTTCTCCGCTTTTTTTTCATTTTTGGACTATTGTAATGTGCATGTGTATCTCAGGAACAAGTGTATATGTTCTGTTCTGTAATTGATCCCCCATGGAGTCAGGATTTAAATAAAAATAAAGAATTGTGAAAGAAATGTAGAGTGCATAGCCAGATGTCAACACATAGAGAACGTTTAACCAAGTCATTTTTACTCATTCGTACACAAAACATATCTGGCATTTTTTAATCAAGATAACATGTCAAAATAATCAAGAATTCATGCACTTAAAGGTCTGCCCTAGCTTCCTGTGAAATGCAATTGTAGGGAATTATGTGCATTAGAAAAGCACCATAATGGTACTGTATATGAAAGACTTCAACCTCCTGACACAAATGTGTGCAAATTACTGTATATCAGTAAAATTTATTGGGTCTTTTTTTCAGCAATGTTTGCTCATCCTGCAATGAATGTGATCTGAACAAGCTAAGCAATTTAGATTCCAGGACTGAGCTCTTAATGTACCTATTTGTCCATTAAATAAATGTTCCTATCCTGGCAGCCAGACTGATATTAGCCTGTTTATTGTAACTGGCTGATACAGCAAAATCAACCACAAGCATAATATCTTTGACTTCAAAGGATGACATCACACACATGGTATTTGAACAAACATGAAACTGCGAAGTAATTACTGTACTCTTTTCTGGATCATGGATACCAGCTGCCTGACATTAAGCCAGAACTTATCATTTTCATTTATTTTACATTCCAAAACATGATTTGAGCAATACATGACTTATTTAATGGAAAAAGTAGGATACATACTCATGCAGAAGCTAATATCTGCAAACCCGCTATTTATGCAAGTCTTTTGACAGTCTTTTGAGAGTTGAATGCAGAAATTCCCCTCTTGTATAGTTAGTGTGCCTAGTATGTTTAGACTTTTGAAAACGTTCGCATAACTTCTAAGACCAAAGGCATGAATAAAACATCAAAGCCGATCACATTAAACTCAGATTTGTGTGGTGCATAAATGAACACATAGCAGCTGTCGGCTTCGGAACATACTTGCTTGGGCGGAAGTCTGGGATGGATCTATCCAAGGAGATTTTCTCACTCAGATAGGCGTTGTAGCCATATTTCTCTCTCAAGCCTTTAGCTTTGATTTCTTCAGCCGGGGTCAGGGTTGCTGGCAGACCACCTTTTCCCAGCCCCCCATTGCCTTCAATAAGCCCAAGAGACTTTGACAAACCTGGTGGTGGGGAGATTTGGGTAAAGATTGTATACGTTTAGTCGCCTGTTTATTCACCCTTTGAGATGGAAACGCCTGACCTCTAAAAATGACTGGTTTGTTAAGGCAGTGGTTCCCAGTCATGGTGCTTTTCATTCCCTCCCACCTTCATTAAATAATCAAAGCCTTAATTGATCTGAGTAGGTGGTTCAATTGAATTGCATGTTGTTTCTTAGATTTTATTTCACTTCCAAAATACAATGATTAAAGCTCCAACTCGTCTAAGAGCTGGGTACAAACAGTTCAAATTGATCTTCTTATTATTAAGTCAGTGAAGGATTTGATTGTGTAACTGAGGGATGACTGGAGCAACAACCAACAGGTGTGTGGGTCACCAGCACCAGGACTGCTTAAGGGGACAAGGCTAGGTTTGGCTTGATGGGCCAAATGCCCTCCTGTCCTTTGTAATCTCTTATAAGTATTCAGTTTACACGTGGTTATGCAGTTCACTGTATTTGAGGGTTTTCTTTTCTAATTTGTGCAAACAAAAAGCACAGATTTTGTTGATTGCCATGACAAGACAAGCCATTTCAGAAAATGCTATATGCAGAAACTACATGAGGGAAATAATCTGTGACCGAGAGAGCAGTAAAAACAGAAAGATATTCCGTGGCTAGGCTAGTTCCACAATCATTTCCTTGGTCTTACTCCTGCAAGTACTCCTGCAAGATCGGTGGTATAGTAATATCTTTTGAAAGTAATGTGCAGAGCGGTAGAGATCCAGTGACCTAATTTGTTTGCTGTTATCTACTGAATCTATCAGCCCTATCCTGATCAGCCCTATCAATGAATCAACAGAGGTCAGAGTGATGGGAATGGTAGCTATGCCTCTGATTAGATACAATCATCATTGAAAGAGCTCTATCAAAGTCCATCAGGTGGTACCATGAGCATTTGCCATTAGAAACAAGCATGATCATGCTTATTGAATGGGCAGATGGCAATCTTCTCAACTGTGTAGCCTGTCCCACATACTGTACAGCAGATTGTTTGTTTTAGCCCCTCAATAGGATGTTGGAGATCTGGATTCAAATGGGATGCAAGATCATGGGAGCCTTGTACAGTAGCTACTGGGGAAGTTATTGAATTAGCAGTTTTTACAGTCTTGTATTCCTCTGCTGCCTTGGGCAGGGCTCTGTTGTAGAAAGATTTTTCTGACGAAATTAGTCTTACATCCTGATTAAAGATGAAATGTAACAATAAAGGCAGTTCTGGTCTCTGTCAAACCACACCCTCATCAGATTACCACATCTTAAGCCATTTTACCATTTGACATCCCTGTCTGATAGAGGCACATGTACTGTAGCTTCTGTATCTTGCACTGTATTAATGAGGTCAGATTTACCAAAAGATCTCTTGTCATTATTTGTTGAGGCCAGGGGTTCTTTATATGCATTTAGAACCGCATTGCATACGTTCTAAACATAATTTATTTTCAGTTCACCATTTACAATGAAGACCATTGGTAAATCTTTGAGTAGATGATGCAAAATCTGTTTAAACTGATGATGGGTCACACTCCTTATTTTACTTTTGCTGTTTTCCCTCTTTAGATCATTGGATTTTACTGATATTAAAACATTACTCTGCACCTACACATCCTTGCATCAGCTGTGCCATGATATGACTATACAATCAAAAACTGGGATTACTTATAAATGTATCAAGTTTCTGTTTTCAGCAAATACCTTCCTTAAAACACGGAAATGTCATTGCTGGTCGTCGTACCTTCTAAACATATTCTGCAACTGCTAACTTTGAAAACGAGTAGAACATTTTCTAAATGATCTTTACAGTGTTTAAAAGTAACATTAAAAGTTGATGGATGTGCAAGTTATATCATGATAATTCTGACCAGATTTCAAAAGCTGTGGATATCTAGCAAAAGGTTTTCAACCGAAGTAAAGCTGACATACCATTTAGCTGCCTATAGACCACTTCCTCTAAGGACCCCAGTCTCTTCAATAGGATTTCGTGGCTGATGCTTGAACCATGAGCTGTAAGGTCGTAGTGATGGTTCCTATTCAGATGCGCTGAGGTGTCCTGGTCGATGTCTTGTACCGCCCTCGAATTACATTTGACCCAAAAAGTCATAAACCCGACCACTGCTAACAAATTCAGCACCAATAACATTCTCCATCTTCTCGGAACCAAAGCCATTAAAGTTGTCGTAGAGATGAGGAACCCCAGAGACGGTTTTTTTTTTAAAACACAAATACAGATGCTGTCCTTTTTTGGGTAACTTTGGTATAAGCAAAGAAGGATCACTAGAGTAACATTTACTAATCAAACTCGAGCCATTCCGCGGAATACTGTCTTTTATGGTGGAGGATTCTGCGAAGCCAAGTCTCAGCGATTCGTTGTTGATCTGGGATTCATTCGTCTTGTCAAAACAATTCTAACAGTCGTTGTGGTATATAAAAGGGCAGGCATGCAATATTGCAAAATTTACGAAACGTACAGATGGACGGAGCAGTCCGTTTTCGCCGCCTGGCAAGATTTCAAGAGAGAAATCATTTTAGTAAAGATGATACTGTAATTAACAGCTACCACCCCCGATTGCATACTACAGAAGTCATTTTTATGATGTCTATTCCGAATGCACGACTGAACAGCGCTGTACGTTTTAAACGCACAAACATCGCCCGAGCGGAATCAAAACAAAAAGTGGAAAAACGCAAAAAATCAAATAAAATGGGATCAACGACACGTACTCGATTCCACGCATTTGATATCCCATTTTATTTTTTTTAAATACTTAAGCTCTCTGTAAACATCACATCATGGTATTGGCAAAGGTTCTTTAACCTCAGCTAAAATGAGGTGTAAGATTGTAGACGCAGCGTCTCCTCAATTGAGTCCGTTAATCACGTCGCAAAAAAAATAAATTAAAGCATCGCATCAGCTGGGGTTTTTATAGCAAGTCCTTTTCGTTGTCGAGACGTCTTTCTTCTAATTTTATCCCTTTCCCTTTCCTTGAATCCGTCTGAGAATGAGATAGCGGTTACTTGGATAAAAACTAGAGGAAAACATGGAGTGGATTGGATTACCCTAAATACACTTTGCACTCCAGATCTGAATGAGTTGTCGAAGCGTAAGAGTCGGGCCTTGGATAGCTAAAGATGATGTTCATTACAGTTGTTAACTTTTTCGTCTTTAATGGTAACGTGAAAGTTCTTCATCTGTCTTCTCATTTTTTTACAATACGAGGAAAAAACTAAACTCTTATCAATGAACTGCCCAGGGTTGGGATCGTCAGACGAAAGAGACATTTAAAAATTAAATCAACCACAGCTTTTAAACTGCCCTATCCCTGACTTAGACCCATGAGACAAAGGTAGTCGTGAATGTTTTAAAAAATATTTAATATTTAATATCAAAGCTAATAATAATCTCGCATTTACACATTAACGCTTTTGCTTTTCGATACAAGAGGCCACCTCAGTGTAAACAATGTGCTGTTGTGAAAACACCCGTACCCAGATTGAAACTTTAGAAAGAAAAACAAATGTAAAATCAAAGTGCTGTATAGCAAGAATATGCATCAATACATAAACGTCCAAATTGTGATGGAATCCAACTTTTTTTCTGTAGCCATAGAGCACCTGAAAACGTTGCGATTAGCATTGCCTTGTTGAAAGTTACCTGCTCATTCTTTGCATTTCATTTTATACGTGGTACAGAATCATGTCTTTTTGCTAAAACTGTTTGTAAAGTGGTTTTGCTGAATAGATTATTCCCAGTACTGATGTGGTTTAGTGTGGATGGCCCCCATCAGTAGCATATTTTAGTTATCCTTCAAATGCGCCCTTCTGCAGGAATCTATGGGCGATCTCTTTATAGCATTGATAGAATTATAGGTGGTGTGTTAATACGTGTTTTCTAATTCGGCCATTGCATTTCCAGTCAGAACTTTGAGCAAAAGCATTGCATGCAACGTTTATTTCTGGACATACATTAGACCTTTTTTTAATGCTTTAAAATCGGTATCATCATTTTCATAGCTCAAGATCTGTAACACAACTTTCGTGATCAATAAAACATCCCAGTGCTCTTCACAAAGAAATAAAAATCTTTAAAATTGAGCAATACAAAAAAAGTTACAATGCCTTTTTAGCTAAAATGGGACATACAATTCATTTAATTTCAGCGAAAAATTCCCCAAAACAGATTGTATGGTATACCATGACAGCCTGAATGATGAACTAGACAAGAAGCATTGAACAAATAAAGCACCTAGCTCTGCAGTTTAGATTTAGCACTAGCAACAATAATTACATGCTATGTGGTGGTGTTAATCTGCCATTTACCACAAACAGTGTTAAAATGCAATATCTTTATGCTTTCCTGAACCATTTTGAGTGCATTCACACACTTTGTGTGAGCAGGCCAGAATAAATGTTATTCTGTTCTGCATAAGGGTTCCAATTTTCTTATTTGAGGCTGTTCTGTGAAACAGTCCTTTGTCGATACACTTGCATCTAATTGGGTGGTGAAGAGGCAGACGGTTCTATGTATGCGCTAAAAAACTACATGACAGTTTAATACTTAGCTTTCCTAATCCTCCAAATCTAGTAGTGGGAGAATCTGTGACACACATACAGCTTCTTAAATTGCTCTGAATGCACTTCCTCTAGGCAAGTCATCAAAATAAATCAATATGCGTTTGTTAAAGCAAAACAGATCTGCCTTTGTGGCTGTATAACATACACATCTGCATCCTGCCTGTCTTTGGGGAGCCCATGTACTGTGTGTGGGTGCAGAGACAGCTGTCACAAAAACAAATCTGTGGGTTATAGATTCACAATAATTACAGCACCCTCCTTCTTTTCTCCCCAACTCTTTGTTCCCGAATGCTCATTATGGTTTTACACCAGCAGGGCACAAATAACCAGCTATTTATTGTACAACAACCGCATTTATGAAGCGGAACTGCATAATTATGCTTTGTCACTTTTCTTCACATTACCCTCCTAGTAATTGTCCAGGCGTGAAAGGGCTGTTAGAGGAAGCATCTTGGAAGGTATCCATACGCTATGAGGAAAGTACAGAAACACAAGATTAATGTCTTAAACTGGCCGGATTCTAACGGGGGTATTATGCTCCTGTTGTCTCCCTGCTGTTGGGTGGAGTGGCTTGCATTCGTCTGAAATGGTATCTCTGAGGGTCCTGTTACTCACGTTTAAGTGAAATCATTCGGCCCTTGTACACAGTTTGTCAAATATACAATCTTCCTTAACGTTCATACTGTATCTTCTGCCTCTCTTTGCACTCTTACTGTTGCCATTGCTTGCTGATATCTTAGTGAAGTGAAAAGAAGTTAAAACTAGGCTATTGCTGTCACTATACATTAGGGTAGAAGTGGATACATAATTGCATCCTGTAACAAAGTGGAAGCGAGGAGGGAGAGAAAATAAAAGATATTTGAAAAGTGTGACTAATGGTGTTTGTCCTTTTGCACTATTTTCCCATTTCGAGACAACTCCGTCGACATCTGAGAGCATCAGGACCTCTTTCTTCTTCGGTGGAATTAAACCACGATCCGCCATAACAGACTCTCAGTCCTTTTGGAGAGAGCTAAGAGTTTTCATTCAGTTTTACACTTAAAACAAATTTAATGAATACAGAGATCAGTTGTAAGTGTAGCTTTCTAGACTCTGCGCTTTTATTATTGTGATAATTCTGTTAATACATGAGTCTGTACAACTGCACTTGTATAGTATAATGGTGTACAGTGTAGTACAGTATAAACTGTACAGTATTGTATAATTAGTGTATGTTTCTAGGCTGTGTGCTTCTATCAAACATGGTAATTCTGTTAACGGACAGGGTCTATACTTCTGCATGTGTATAGTATAATAGTGTATCATGGTTAAAGTACATAACCCTTCATGTGTGAGAGAAGGTATTATTTTGCATTGTATGACGTCCCCAGTGGTTAAGCCTATCTTAATATAATGTACCCTTTTCTAGCTCAGCTATTTGTAACACTGGCATCAATAGTATGATTATGAGCCTGGTTTTGGCATTTTTGCCTCAGTTCATAATGTGACAAAAGCCTTTATTATAAAGCAAAACATCTATAAAGAGATGATAACTTTGGATTTAAATGAAATTTTATATGATTTGAAATATACAATGAAAAAGAAGTGAAATGAAAAATGTCAGTCATAATATTTGACCCCTGGTAAGTGCACAACACTAATCTACAATTTACTGTTGACTTCCCCTAAACCTAACCTTAAGGGTTTTATATGGGTATATTACAGTGTAAACGGGAAAGGGAGTGATTAACCTATGAAGTTCTAAGGATTTACAACACCTTATTTAAAGGTAACTGCAAAACTGTGTATAAACCTCAAGTTCCAAGCAGAAATGAAGGACGTTATTCATAAACCATTCTCCAGGATTCCACGGGTATTTGCAAAAGTTCAGTCTTGTGTAGCTGCAGTGTATTCTTTATTACAGAAATGAGAACCTGATTGCACAATACTATCTTACCTGTTTGGAGAAAAAGAATCTTTTATGCCTCCAGTCTCCTTTTGAACCTCCATGTTCAGAACCATGGACAGAGGCACACGGGTGTTCCATACCTATACTGAACATACAGGATTTTGATTCTGTCAATTTAAATAATAACCTGCATAGTTCTGCTAAGAGACACTTTCTGTCCTACAATCAATACAGAGTCTCAGAACTGAGACGTTCAACCACAACAACTCTTAACACAACGTTGCTCAGGAAAATCTCAATCTGATATTTAACCTTATTTATCCAGAGATCAAGTTAGTGTGTAGCTGATGTCCTTGCTGTAACAGTAAAGCTTTTGTTTTTAACAAGCAGTAGAGCCAACAGCATACTAGCAGGCTTGCATATGTACTTAATTAAAAAATACTTAGTAACCTTTAGTTTGGTCTCCCCTTAATGAATCAGAGGAGACATTGCTTTGCATCAGGGTATTTCCTGTTTCCATTGTGCTCACAAATGTGACACACAAAGGCCGCAGACTGTCATGTTTACAAAGCATATTCTCATCACACTCCATGTGAGCAGGAGTACAGATTCCCTTCATAGCATTACAATGCAGATCTGAACTGACATGTCTCATCTCACTGTTCCTATTTCCATGGCAAAGCATTTTAATTCCTTGAAGCTATGTGGTTGACCTATTTCCTGGCAACTCCCTCGCTGATTTTAATATTGCAAAATAAAAGCAAACCATCTTTTCCCCGATTCACTCAACTATTAATGTAGCAGGTTGCATTAGATTCCCATGCATATTAGAAACAGAATGTATTAAATGATTTCTGGTGGCATTATTGAAATAATACCCACTAACAGTTATTGCACAGACCTGATTTCTTAGCTAACATTGCAGTATATTGTATAAGTTCTGCAGATCCTCCATTGATTTTTGAAGAGATTGTCTGCCTTCCAATAAAATTGTGGATTCACAGAGAATTGTTTCCAGTAGTTTAAGTTTTGAAGATGATTATTTATATTGAAAGATCAACCATTTTCTTGAACAGTATGAGAGAGGGACGCATCCAATATCTTTGCTTATATTCCTGGTTGGAAGTAAAGGAAGTACAGTACATACTGTAGGACACAGAATAAGGGCTGCACCATGCATGTGATGTTCTGCAGTGAAACAGTGCATTTCCCAACTTTGTTTCCATGTAAGAAGGCATATATACTAGATTAGTTTACTGGCATGGTAAAGCATATTAACATTACTGCCACAAAGAATACCTCAAGTGAATTAAATGAGATAAGATATAAGTGTAAAAATGACTCTTACGTTTTTAAAATAAGATATTCCCTGCACATTGGCAGTTTTTGCTACTATTCCCTAATTCAACTACTGTACTATATGTTAAAGGAAAAGTTTAGCTGTACATCTCAGTAGAAGTAGGGTAATTATTCATAATACATCTACTGTATCCCAGGAGGCTGACAAGGAGAACACTTTTAACTATGCTGTCCCCTTCATGTCCTAGTAATTAGGTTATCTGTTTGAGCTGTTTCTCCCTTTCAATTATATTTTTGATAAAAAAAGCTTTCATGGTCTTATTGCATTTAAAGTGATTTAAAAGAGCTGAACATCAAAAGACCTATCACTCCATGTCTGAAAAGACCTACTTAAAAAGTAACCCCACTGGAAATGAGAAAAAGAAGCCACCTTGTATAAAATTAATTTAAGAAACTGCTGTACAATTCCACTGCTTTCCAAACATTGGCAATATACAAGCATATTTATATACACTTAAAAGAAGGCTCCACGGCCGAAATGTTGCATTTTCTTTTTTTCTCAGCCTGGAATAAACGTATTACTTATCACTTATATTTTATATACACATTTCTGAACCAATGAGGACTCCTGCAAAAGCGCAGTCTGGGGCACCAGTAGAAATGTGGTGGGTTTACAATACGTGACTGTTACATTTGGTTAAAAAATGTGCTGTTAAGCCTTCAAATATAATGCATTACTTCATGACTGCCAGACAACAAATTGTGTTCCAAACTGCTTTAGTGCTGATCAATTGTGGGAGCCTAAAATCGATCAGGAAAGTACTCTTTAATATAGTAGTTAAGGATTTGCTGTTGATTGTATTTCACCTACTGTAGTGCTTGTGTCTCTTCCTGTCTGTTCCACTGAAGTCACACATTGAGGTGATATTGTGCATGTTATTTAAAATGCCTTTCATATTTGCTGTGCTTAATCTATGATTTCCAATGTTTACTTTAATATTCCTTTATCTCTTAAAGATGTGTTGTTTTGTGGGTTTAAGTATGATAGTATATGACATCCTTAGTTTCTTATGTCTGACTGATACAATTTTGAAGCCAGAAAGACTATAGACTGAAAGTTTTATTCAAACCTATTTCTTAATCTAGGAGTATAAAAATGTTAAGATTAATTTAACTCTTATCTAGAACAGTGTGGCATTACAGTGAAAGAGGATGAATGAATGACAGCAGACTTCATTGTTTATTTACTACAGTGAAGTAGTAAAGTGCTTTTAGATTAAGGGTGGATCATATGCGTATTTATACTTATCATATAACAAAGTTACATTTTGTAGTTGGGCACGTTAGCACTTCTGTCAAACAGAAATATCCATTGCTTTGTAGTGTAATTTGTCATGGGATTTGCTTACCAGAAGTGTTGTCATGATTACTGTGAGGGAGCAGGGGATCTTTGTTTTAAAATGAGGCGTAGATCAATACCTGTAGTTTTACAGGTAAGATGATGTGAAGCTTTCCATTTAGGTGCAAGTTTATAGTTTAGGAAAAGGCACAAGTATTGCCATTATTATTCAATTTAAGGTAAGGAAGTATAGTGTCATACAAATGTAATTTATTTCAGTTCCACCATATTTGGGATGATTTATTTGTCTAATAATATGTCTGGACCCACACTACCAAATCTTGTGATAGATCAGTTGCATAAGCACTAGGTAACATGAACAGAGTTATGTTTGTGCTTAGGATATTTATTGCAGTTATGTTCATTTATATATGTATGAGCATTTATAAAAAATGAAAACTAAAATAGTAAAAATAAATGAATAGTATATAATATGTTTCAATTTTTTATTTTGATTAATATTGTTTAAATAGTGGTTAATAGTGTGTAGAGTCTAATAATTATGTTCTACAAGTAGTGTCCTTTCCTGAGGGATTAGTGTGACTCCAAGTCCTGGACTAGACATCTGGTTTAGTAACTGCAATGATACTTGCAATGTACTTTCCAGTTACACCAGCAGTAGTAAACTAGTTGAACTGTCCTCTGCTTTATCTGACGTTCTGTGGTGCCCTCTGGTGGTTACAACTGTGTATGACATAACGTCTCTGAACATTTTGTGTAGTAGTGTATCAGGCAACTATTTTCAATCAAGCTGAACTTGAAACATTGTTCAAAACCTACTTTGGGGCCTGCCTTTTACTTTGAAACAAACCAGACTAGGTTCACAGGATAAATACCAAAGTGCCTAGGTGAGCACAAAGGGGAAACAAGTTGTTCATTAATGTTTTTCTTCATTGGTAACATCTTTCATTTATAATATTGATATTAGCATCACTCGTCTTTCCTGAAGAGCACTATTTTACTCCATATTCCAAACTAACCTGCAGCTAGAGGGGTTTCTTGCATTTTAGTCAGTGTAAGTCCTGACATTCAGCAGTTTGGAAAAGAAAACGATTCAGCAGTAAATACCTGGAAACACAACAGTATGCCTTTATGAATCCTCAGAACTACTGGGTTGATTTATGACCCAAACTATATTCAAGATTTGTATATATTAGTTTATTCTTCTCACTAAAGAAGGGCTTTCTCTGAGGGGCATTTTAACTAAGGCCTGTATGCTTTAGCATTTTTTTTGTTCTGTGCTGAAAATACAAAATTGCAATGTGCCAGGGAAATTAAGAATTAATTAAAAAGTTATCACCTAACGAATGTGAAACATGCTACAAATTAAGATCATCGTAGATTTAGTTCACATTTTTTAATAACATGGCACAATTTACATAACACAAGATTTTTTTTTAATGAGGAACATGCTGAAGATTCAGAGTCGCTTCACTTTTCTTTTTACATCTGATCTAGAAAGGACTTCATTTACGTACATGATAAACAGCAAAAAAGTTTTGTTAATAACAATCTCTTTGCAATACTCATTAACTAACACTACTGTTCCAGTGTACATTTTATTTTTTTGTTCGTTAAAAAACACAGCACGACATCTGTATTTCACATAGTTTGAAGCGCACAACTAAACCTTCAGGTGACTACTAAAATAGATCTCTGCTCATTAGAAACAAACCGCCCAGTTTTGGACTTTGCTGTTTTCTTGTCTTTTTGTAGTAGATACAACAACTTAGGATAGCACTTTGATACACTGTTAGAACAACGGAACTAATTTTATTTTTCATACACATACTTTACACTCCTTCAAAAGAAATGTGTTCGGTTGTTTTTGCTTTTTTAAGTTGCCTTCTCTCCAAATAGAATGCATCAACTGATGTTACATAGAGAAGCAAAACTTGGTTTGATTTTTGAAGTTGTTGGTGCTGACGGGATTATCAATTTTTGTTAAAAAAAAGGTTTAAGGATTGTCACCAGCAAACGTACGGCATTTTCTCAGCAAATACCATATTGTTTTGCCTCCTTTTTTACGGAGCAATGAGGAAACCATACTTCAATAAACATTGTACTGACGCTAACAAAAAAAAAGTGAGGCCATTCTGATTGTGGAGAGAATACGACTTTGTTTGGATAAGTTTGGATAGTGAAAAGGCTCCTTTGTAAAATGCTGGCTTTTGAGATAAAAGCCAAAACATTCATTGCATAGTTGGAGGGGGATGATCTGTGAAACGACACTTACCTTGCACAGCGCAAGCAGGCTGTGTTAACAAATAATAAAATCTGCAAATAGCACAAAGTAAGAAGTTCTCTAATCCCATTATTTCAGTCCTCTATCTACATTTATACAAAGTAAAGCTTTCATTACACCCTTTGCATATATGTACCTTTTTCCAAAGATGCAGGCACGTTTTCTGTACAGAGATATCTACAAAGCCTGCTGCTTCCCTCAGCGTTTTTTTTGTAATTACCTGTATATTCCAAAGAACCATCTTTCGCAGGGTGCCATCAAAATTTGTACTTTTTTTGTTTTGTTCTGCAGATCTCCCGATTCCTGAAGAACAAAGCTTTCTGTACAGATAAAAGGATACTCACAAAAACATAAGAGCAAGTTGGCTAAAACATCTGTAAATGTTTTTAGTTTACAAAAAAAAGAGTCATTCGGATTTCTACATGGTTACACACACACACGCGGGGCTGCCCGGTACTAAGTGCTTTGTAAAGTTCAGTCACTGGGCACGCAGTATGGGCTTCTGTCTTCAGCGGTGCTTACCGCGCTTCAATGTCTTTGTGAGTGTGAGAGGGAGGTCTGTCCCTAATGTCTGTGGTCAAGGGCGTAGTCCTTCTTGGAGAGTTGGGCCTGGCACCCAATGTGGGGATCAGAGGGGGGGGTGCGCTCAGAGAGGCAGTGGGGGGTGTCTTGTTGAGAATGCCATTCTGGTGCATGGAGGAGGGGCTGACCCTAGGATAGTGCATGCTGGGAAGACCAGGCGTCATGAGGCCGGGGTGGGGCAAATGACCATCCAGGGCAGCTGGGTGCATGTGGTGCAGCCGCCCATGCTCGTAGTCCTCTCTGAGCATGTGCAGCCTCTCTCGCTCGTCCATGTGGCCAGCTCGCTCGTGCTCCCTGCGCTGCTCTAGGGCCAGAGGGTGGGGATGATCTCTGTTGTAATCATGAGGCTCCCGGTCCCTGTACGACCGATCAGCTTCGTACAGCCTGGGTGCGGCCAGCCGGTGCAGGGGGTCATTCCGCAGCAGGAAGTCTCTGGCCAGCGGGTCTCTACGGTGGATGTCAAGACCTCTGTAAGGGTCCCTGAGTGTGTCTCTCATGGGGTCCCAGTGAAACGCAGGGTAGGGGAAACGCTCGGCGCCAGGAATGGGGCTGATGCCCATAAATGGCGCCACCACTCGAGTCCTCTCTAGGCTGCTGATGCTGTTCATTGGGTGCACACCAGCCATGCCCATGGGCATCGGCATGGAAGACATGGAAGAAGGGGGGTGGATGCTGGGGGCGGACGTTACTTGGGAGTGCTCGTTCGGCCTGTGCGTCGGAGGGCCTTCGCTGGGAGCCTCCTGATCCTCCTTGCGCTCCTCCTTCACCTTGACCTCGTTCTTCTTCTGGTGCTCGTAGGGCGGCTCGCTCTTCTTCTCCGCCTCCCGGCTCAGGCTGCAGTTGGACCTCGTGTTCTCCAGCCCAGGCGGCCTGACGTAGGGAGACGTCACCCTGTTCACCGGCTTGCCCTCATCCCCGGCCCGGCCGTCGTGGCCGACGGGCGCCTCCTTTTCGGGGGCGTGGCTTTCCTTCAGCTTGTGCTCCTCGGAGTTGTTCTCCTTCCAGGAGTCGGAGTGGTCCCTCTCCCTCTCTTTGGCTTTCTCCTTCTCGCGGACATCGCTGGGCAGGTGGCTTCTGGGGGGCTCGGTCGAGGACCGGCTGTGACTCAGGGGGTTGACAGCCGCTGGAGAGGGGTGGCTGTGGTGTCGCTTTTCAGTGGTGTCCCTGCAGAGTGCAGATAAAGACGGGGAAAGAATTTATCAATGGTTTTCCTCTTCCCCCTCTTGCCAAACGGTCAGTGTGAGCTAATCTGTTTCTACTTGCGGGAAAAAAACAGGAATGCTTTGCAATTACAGAAGCACAAGTCACCGATCAAGAGTATAGGATCCAGTTTAGCAATCCATAAGATTTCGCTTCTATTGGAACATCAGGTATAGGAAGCATCTGCATTGGCCTTGAGCATAAACACTCTCCTGGTTAAAGAAACATTTTGCTTAAAATCCCTATGGGAGATTTTAGAGTGACCCACATGCTGCGGGCGAAGGCACAGTACCTTTCTTTGTCATCCTTGCTGGGAGCGGCGTCTCTTTTGTCCGCCTCTCTGTCCCGCTCGTGGGCCGCCGCTGACGAGCTCCTCTCGGGGTCTCCTGGTTTCAGCCAGGGTGGAGGGGTTGGGAAAGAAGGGGGTGTCCGGTGCAGCCGGTTCCAGGGTTCGTGGGTGTTGCTGAAGTTCTGAGAGTTGGAGTTGTCTTTGTGGCCGAACATAGAGTTGGGAGCTGGGGGGAGTAGGGGGGGCATTGAAAGGGAGGAGAAAAGGCAAAACAAAAGAACTAAAGAGCTGCACTCGATCCTCTCCTCAAGCCCCAGGAAGAATAATGCCCATTCCACAAGTGATCCAGTTCCCTAAGCCCACTCCAGAAGAGCAGCAGCTCAGGTTTGGTTTTAAAACAAAAACAGGACAAGACCTAAGGAAAATGATTTAACTAACTGAATTAGGACTGAGCATTGAGCTGAAGCTGCGAGAGACCTACAAAACCCACTGGCCTGTTGACCTGACCTAGAAACAGCAGAAGACAGTACATGTGCTAGATGATACTCACTAAGTGCAGGGTTTCCCAGTCCACCAAAGGCAGCAGAACTTAAAGTAGCCAGACTTCCAAATGAACCTGGCCGACTGAATGGCTCTGAAAAGCAAGAAGAATTTGAACAAAAAAAACGATGAATGAAGAGTTACTATTTAGTGACAGCTCATAATTTTAAAAAACATTGAATATGTGACTACATAAATATGGCTAGCTTCTCCTGAAGGTTCATGTGATGGAAAAGAGTTTCATTCCTACAAATAACTAAGGACATATAAGCAATACGAACAGGGCTCCATTGTTTTCCTTTGAAAGATGATTCAAAGCTAAAGAGAAATCTTAATCCTGCAACTATTGTGATTCCATTTGCCTTTTTGTCTGGTAAGGCGACTATCACCTTTGAACCATCTCACATCAGACTGTTCTCCTTGAAGCAAAAATCCCTCGAACAGGATGCTGTACAAGGCCCTGCAGAAACGTGCATTTGGCAGAATGAGGCTTGGATACGGACACATCCCCACGCCACACAGCTGGAGATTCTCAGGCTTACCTAAGTGTGCAGCTGGGTTGAGGAAGTTGCCGGGATGGTGGGGTGGGTGTCCGAAGGGGGTGGCTGAAGGATGAGTGGAACCTGAAATCACAGCAGCACACACTGAGCAGCCCTCCTCCCAGAGAAAACCGCTGGCGCTTCTCGCAAAAGATAGATGTTCACTTCAGACACTGTGCATTCCCGTGGGCAGGTGGATCTGAATGTATATTCACGGGGAAGGTTTCGCAATCTGTAAACAGTTTGTACAGGCTGCCGATTATGAAATGGGGGGAGAGATTTGCGTGCTTCTCACGTAACGCTCCACCACTTTCTGCTGCCGATGGGGAGAGCTTATCTGACAGAAACCATCAATCAAAAAGTGTGGTGTTTACCCTTTTCATACTTAATGGCATTATGTAAATAGCAGGAGCTTCCCTAGAGGTGAGCCTCTGGGAAAACAAGATATAAAACTATATATTCTGTACTGCGTTCTTTATGAGGTATCTGTCCTTGTATCTGCGTTTTACTTCCACAACATCAAAGACTGATGGACTTCATTATTTATGTGCCCTGCTTCTGCTTTTATTGCTAGTGCTCCATAAAGCAGCACTGTAGAGCTCATCAAAACAGTGTTTTCATGTCCAGATTACTCCATTTGCACAGGCAGGCTATTGCTCCTATAAAAACGGCCAAGGCGACCATATTGCTGTAATGAAAGAATGAAATAAGGAGAGGTTTCTGAAAGCTGGAGTAATGAATAATAGATGCACAGTGGGTGGTAACTACAGCGGAGTTGGGAGCCCTACAGAAAAGATGAAAACGCAGCTTAACCTAGCGAAAAATCCCCTGGTCTTTGCGACTGGCCTTGTAAGACAGCCTGTGATGGAAAGTCATTAACAGGCACCAAGAGCTGCCTTGGCAATCACAGAGGATAAGATATCTTTTTCAGCAAGCTTGCAAACCACCCAGAGTTTTCACAAATTAAAAACGTAAGCTTCTAGTATTTGGAAAAGGCAACATCGTTTCAGTTTAATATGCAGAAGAGACCAATCACAACTGAAACCCCATAAGAAGGCCAAACAATTAAAAAAATAGATTCCTATGGAGTTTATAAATGAAAAATCTAGCTGTTCCTTTACCTCCAGTTTGGAAAGTCAGTCTCACTCGCATATAAAATACTAGGTGGTATGGAAAAAATAATTTCTCCACAATTTTATCCAAAAACATTTTTTTCTTTTGCTTTTATTGAGAAGTCTTGTTTGTTATTGATGGGTTCTTAATGAATGAGGGGTTTGCACATTTGAAATTCACCACCGTAAACTAAAAACCTGTACTGGATATATCGAAAGCTGGTAATTCAGACACGCTTCTGCCTGTGTTCTTGTCTCTCCTGTCTCAGCACACCCCGCCTTCATCTGACCAACGGACACAAGCGTCAGTATGGCCCGTGCCAGAGGGCCGTGCCCACCTGCAGCAGAGAAGAGCGTGGCGGGCCGAGCCAGGTCGTGAGGGTGGTGTATCGCCCCGAACAGGCTGGGGCCGGGAGGTCGGCTCAGAAACTCTGGCTTGAGCCCGAAGTCCAGCTTGTGTGGGTCCACCTGCATCTGCTGCTGGAAAAAGGAAAACAAAACCAAGAATATTCACTTGAAACACCCCTTCTGCTTTCTCTGGTGAAATATTAGAGTGCACTGTCACTGCTTTTACTAGTCGTGGTCACTTACGGTCTCTCACTCCAATACGCAACACAATTAACATAAAAAGGCACAGTATGGAGCAGTACCTGCTCTTTTCCTTTAATCGCTTATAGACATGAATCTGACTACTCTACTGAAAGTTATGGCCACAGTGATTATGCCAAAATACAGTATCAACACCACAAGCGGTGTCTTGGTTCTTTCATTGTGCACAAATGTAAACCTGTCAGCAATAATGGAAGAGAAAGCCGTGAATCGACGTGGCTAAGAAATATTATTTATGACTGCAATACAATTAGAAGCATTAGCATTGAAAAGTCTGAAAAGCTTATTATTGAAAATAGATGCTATCTTTAACTATCTGTTAAAGTGTGGCTGGACTGGTTAGCTCCCTCTTGTGGCTGTTGTGGGGATTGTGAAAAAGTACAAATTAAATGCAAAGATTAACTACAGTCTACTAAGAACATAAAGGAGGTTACAAAAAAGGAGGCCATTTAGTCCATTTAGCTTGCTTGCTTCTTAGAAGCAACTTGATCCAGGGATCTAATCCAGAAGTTTCTTGAATAATTACATATATTCAGGCACATCTTATATGTCAGTGCCGGTCAAAATGCTACATACAATCCATTCCCTACTTTAGCTACAAAGACACAATCTCTAAACAGAAAACAATTGCAAAAAGTTATTTATTAAGTTTATTAAAAATTGGTTTTAGTTTAGCAAAATGTTGAAACTGTTTGTATGTTTAGGAACCTGTGGTGCAAAGAAAGATCAAAACTAACACTTGCAAACTAACCTTTACTTTCTGTTGATGATGATAAATCTGCCAAGCAATGTGGACATGCATGGCACACCACTTTCCAGGTTTCTGAAAGAAAGCAAGCAACGTTAACATCAGGGTGCCTGCTGCTACTTAAATACCGTCTCCTGTTTTTAACACGGTTAAATGGTGGTTAAATAATATTTAAAAAAGACAACAAAAATCTCAAAGCTGTTGTTGTTATTCAGGTACTTCATGCATGTTATATGACCCTAGGAATTTATACTGCAAAGGGTCAGAGAAAATGGATGAATTTGTAAAGAATGCCAATTTCTTAGCACAGGTAATATCCATGCAGTCTTCACAGAGATTTTGCTATTTTATGTTACACTCTTTGTAGCAATTTCTTGTTGGAAAATAAGTCTTTGAACAGCAGGCACCATTCAAGGCAAACAAGAGCTCAACAGGATCTGTGCTTCAGGATTTAAGATTTTGTTATTAAAAAGGGGATTCACCACACACATTTTTAAACCAAATAACCATTTTATATCGATTTAACAAATAAATTACCTTCATGGCTAATAAAAGCATATTTTTTTTTATAAAGGGCTTAGAAATTTCTTAAATTCTAATTGAAATCTTCAGTGCGTTAAAGAAAATATACAAAATGGCACCTGTAAGGCACAATCATCTTATAATTAGTTTGTCTCCACAGTCCTATGAGACTCCTGCAGGAACGGCTATATTTCTAATAACGCTTTCTTACCCTCAATATGGGCCGGAAAGGATCAGTCAGCTGTAAAAGAAGAGTGACAGCTTGGTTACACGCCTGTCACTCAGGACAATATTTCTAATTAACAAACGCATATCGCTTCATTATTGACTAAATTAAAATGTTAAAATTTTACTTTCAAATGAAGCATTCCTGAGAATAATTAGTCAGTATTTATAAATTCCACTGCCCTCTGTGGCCCGTCATATATCAACGTTGACAAGCTGTTAAACATGGTTGACAAAAATCCGTATGCCTGTTGGCACACTGTGTGCAAAAGTTAATCTTTGCTAAACATGAGGAACTATGTAAATTTGTTGGGGGGGAATTATACATCAATTAGCTCAGAAAGTCTGTCAAGCTATACTTAGACTAGAAACCATAACGATGGAACTACTGGTAAACATTTTATAGGCCCCCATTGGCATCTTAAAATATATACTTTAAAAGAATGGTATAACAGAGACTGCTATCATGAATATGATATTTGTTTTGAAACGTAACACTATAAAATTCTGTGGATTAGTAGGGTAGCAAGAGAGAGAATTGCATAATGTGATAAGAGGTATACAGAATACACTTTACTTATGCTGTGGTGTCTGAGTTATGTCTTGTTAGAAAAAAACTGCTGACCTAAAGTCTGATATTCACAGAGGTGGTGGTGAGAATGCTCAGCTTATTTCACTTATAGTGAATTTTGGCCAGCAGGGTGAAGTGTCGAAGGAATTCATCTGCAGTGTCATCAGTTCCCTCCAATTCTGTCAAAGTGGAATTTTTATTCTACTCCTAATGACTAAGTACAAAGAGATGCTACACTTCACATTTTCTAGGAAACACGCCGAGAGTTGGCCTGGTCATCACTGGCTTGAGCTAGCTGACTGCTGCTGGCGTGACCCCGCAGAGCAGAATTCTGCTGGAATTTAGAGCCGTCAAGCCGAGTCCTTAAAATAATTGTTGAGTCCAAAATTCTAAACCATCCCTATTCCAAAAACCTGAGTACTGTCAGGGTGAAAAAGAAAGCCGCAATGAATTCTGTGCAAAGAAGTTCTGAGGTCACATACCCTGGGGTCCTTCTGTAGGAGCGTGTGAGGAACTGTACCAGGTCTGGATGCAACATCCATTGGATTAGAAGTCTAAAATCCAATTAAAAAGATTAAGGTTGGTTATAATATAAGAATATAAGGTGAAACAATAATTAATTCCTATTCAAGTCCCATAATTACTAGCACATATTCTATTGTCATTCCATTCCTGAACTCTTTGCCTACAGAATATTATATGTATTTTAACATAAAAGAGGGAAAAAGTAGTTTTGACATTCACAAATGTTGCTTAATAACATTAATAACAATTGAACATGTTAAGATGGCTCCAAAATATGAAAATTGCTATTTCCTAACCACTTTATCCCATTCGGGGTCGCAAGAAAAAGCAAGCAAGGTAGGGTGCACCCTAGACAGGGCACCAGTCCATTGCCGACACTTGCACACTCACACTAGAGCCAATTTTCCAGAAGCCAATTAACCTACCAGGCATACATTTGGACTATGGGAAGAAACCCGAGCACCTGGGGGGAAACCATGTGGAGAACATACATAGTTCACACTGACAGCGCGCCAGGAATCGAACCCGGGGCCCCAGCGCTGTGAGGCAGCAATGCTCACCCCTGTGCCACCATGGGATCAGGGAGGTATCGGTTGCTGTCTTGTCTCCTGTACTTTCAACTAAAAACATCCTCTAATGGGCTACTCGGAAGTACCAGGATTTTTGGTAGATTATAGCCGGGTTTCCCATGAAAACGGAACAAAGTGAAAGTGAGCCTCAGTCTGACTTCAGTGGAAATACAGACACCCACTGACGGTAACACATGAGGCCTACCTTAGGCTGAAATGCTCCCTGCAGTGAACCGAAGGGCCCGGTAGGTGGGATCATCGGTGGAATTCCGGACACAGCTGGAGGGTAGGAGTGGAACAGCTGGAAAAAGATTAAAGGCATATTTCAGGAGAAAGGAATAATGAACATGTTTCAGAAGGACAATATGAAAGAACAAAGCAGCTGCCAGCAGAGGCCTCATGGTACAGAAATTATGAAGGCAATGATATGATGAAGGCAATGAGTGTGAGTGAAAGTACCTGATTGACTAGCGGGGTTAGCATTAAAATAGAGGGGTTTCCAATTAATAGCAGCGAGAATAAAAAATAGAATTGTAAACAAGACTTTATTCTAAGGAACAAAGGTTTTGAGTATCGAATGTATGGATCTGTAAAATTAAATCGCAGACAACCGCAAATATTTTGTCACTCAGTAGCTCTGCCTGTGCATAATCATTACCCCCATATGCAACACAATTATACCAACAGCTAAATTTCATACATGTTACTCATATCAGCCTTTTTTAATAGTTTTAATATCTAGTATTCAAGGTATGAGACTGATGATACAAATGGATTTCAATCGGTATCCTCTTAAAGTGTTCAGCAATTTAATGTTCTCAAACAGATCTGATTAAAATGAATAGCAATTAGAACTGAATAGTGTCTGTTACACATAATTCCTACTTCTAAGCTCCATGTCTTAATATAGCAGAATTTTTCTGATGAAGGCCTGACAGTGGGAGGCACCAGAAGACACAAATATCAGATTTTAAGAACAATTGAGATATTAATGACACTGACTGCTGTCTGGCATAACAGCAAGCTTGGTTAGTGCTTGAAAGTGGAAATCATTCATTTGCCCAATCTTGCTTTCAACAGTTCTAAATGAGCATGCAATTTACACAAGCATAAAACAACACTGCAAGAGTTTAGATACAGCATCCCTCTAGGGAAAGAGACTACAACAGTATGAACTGTTCTTCTGAATATTTCATCTGAAAATGCTAAGAAGATTTGAAATAACACATGTAGATAATATATTATTCTATGCGCTTTTATTAATGCAGCTTTCCTTTTATTTTCTTTCCCTTTACATCAGGTAATATTAATTTTGGTATCAAAATTAAGATGTGTGTTAACTACAGTGTTCAATTTTATTACATTATGTAATTCTTAACAACTCTTATTTCAGGTTTGGAAAGATATACAATGCTGAGAATAATGTTTACCTGTTGTTAAAATAATTCTCTTCATGCATTTTTCAAAACCTATATTCAGCTTCCAAAAGGTTAAATTGAAAGACTGAAGAGAACAGATGTAGGACCTATAACATGACTTCTGTTCTAAAAAAGAGAGGACTGATCTGTTAACACTGTGAATTAACTAAGATTTTTAGTAGTCAAGCTCAACCTCAATGTGCCTGGTTGGGTGAATATAATAGGAGAAGCCTGGATTTTTATAGGTCGGTAGCAGTGATGGAAAAGGATGCTGTACCTTCACACTGCGGACAGGAACAATGCAGAGATGGAAGAGTTGTAATGATTGCTTTATGCACTCAATGACTACAGTGATATCTGGAATCAACAGCAGTAGCATATTATTTTCTATGGGAAAGCAATTGAGCACAAGCTTTCCAAAGCAATATGTACACTCACACTGTGCCTGTAGAATGGATCAACTTTTGTTGGGTATTTGTCAAACTGTAAAGGAATGAAATAAGGCAGAGCTAATTACATTACCATCACACAACACAAAAGACTTTCAAGAACTAAAAACTCGTATTCACGCTTCAGACTTACCAAGGCAATTGACATTTACAATGTCAGGATTTTAAGTGCTTACTTATAAAACCATCCATGCATGCATCATTAGTAAACTGCTTATGTTGGTGGGGGTCTTAGTAAGGTAAAGCCCACCTAGAACCTCAATTTTAATCATTTAAAATGTATGGAGAAACCTCTCCATGCAAACTTCACGCAGTCACAAGCCCAGCCCAGATTCAAACCCAGGACCCTGCAGCTGTGATAGGGCAGCACTAACTGTCTCATCACCATGTGCCTCCCATACAAAGGCACTTTGCATATATGCACAAATATCACAGTCCAAGAACAACATAATTTGCCTAAAACACTGATGATTAAAAAGGAGGTATTTGGAAATGTATACATGTAATGTATACGTATTTAGGCTTCATTTAACTTGTATGCAGCACAAAGTGAATGTGCTAAATGGCTTTATTATAATACCCTGGATGTCATAAGACAGAACAAGGTGTGACACTCTTTTATGGTCAACAGTAATCTAATTAATAATACAGCCAGAGCTTTAGCCTTTTCTTCCTTTGTTTGAACAGCTAAGGAAGTACAAATAAAATTACAAAAGGAGTCTGAGCAGTTTTAGGATTTCCTCTTATTCTGCTGCTCTGTGAATTACGGCAAAACTAGGCAAGATGAAACACGGTAGGTTGGCGCTGGTTTTATAATGGGAAGACACTGTTTTCTTGTAGTGGAAGAACCGTGCATTAAGATGAATCATTTATTCAGTCTTTTCCAGCACTTATATGGTTTCTGTATAGAAGCTAACTGACTTGTTTAACAAAAAAAAGAGATTTATAGTATTAGACGCTCTGGAATCTGAGTGCTTTAGGAATTCCTGTGGGACGGATATGCATTAACTAGAAATTATTCTTGAGTATGATCTAACAGGCAAGGCGGCAAAATCTCTGAATCTCTAACTGGAAAGCTCTGCTTGACTACAGTTCCTTGAGCCGCTCAGAAACCATGCTAAAATTCATTAAAGAAGAACCGTTCACCATTAAGAACGGTAAGGGCTTTTCAGACACACGGGAGATCAGAAAATTAAAGCACATGACATTTCACATGCCCCTGACGAGCTGCGAGCCGACAGGAGCGCGCAGACCCAAACGACAAGTAACCTCCGAGCAGAGCGGCCCGTGACGCAACACCCCAGGGAGTCAAGAGAATAGAGTTGTGTTCTACTTATCCTCACATTTCTGGCTGGGGTACGCACCATGGGCGGTGCAGGGGTGGGCATGATGGCGGTGGGCGGGATGGCGTGGGGGAACGGCGTGAAGGTGTGCTGGTGGGTGTGCTGGTGGGTGTGCTGGTGCTGGTGCTGGTGCTGGTGGAACTCGGTCCTCAGGTACGGCGGAGGTCCCAGCGACGCCCCTCGGTCGGCGCTCTGCGAGGCTAGAAAGCGGGTGTTGAGCTCCTGGCGCAGCAGGTCTTGTTCTGGGGGACAGACGGACACCGGGGGGTGAGCCGCAGTGCGCCAATTCTCCGCACAGCGCTCACAGAATCCACCTCTCCACAGCCCCCCGTGCAGACCAGGCGGAGCTGACATTTTCCAGGAAACACAAACCACTAAAGCTCGGGAGGCTCAGCAGTACGAACTTGACATTTCACTCCGCACAAAAAAAAACGGTAATGCCGCGCCGCACTGGGAAACTAGCCGCTTGTGAAACAGCGAGAGCGTTTAACTGCCGTCGGAGACGGCGAGAGGCAACCAATCTGTCAAGGTAACATAAAGGGGAAAAAAAACAAACGGCTGTCTGGATTCGTGCTTTTAAAGAGGTTAGCTCCAGCCTAAGAAGAATAAAGAAAATCGCTTCCCTCTGTGCTACAAAAACTTTCAAAACAAGGACAAAAGTCTCAAAGGAATTTGCCAGAATGGTATTTCGTCCCACACTTGCAACGCAGTAACACTGTGTGCTTGTTTCACACCACATCTTTTGGGCCCCCTCTCCTTCTTAGGCACATTCCATTAATGGGTGTCCTCTGTCAGCTGTCCTCCTAGGATTTATGGCTTTGGTCTTTCGCTGATTAATGGCTGCCAGGGAAAAGAGGCATCCCACCATATTTCACCCTCTTTTCCGTGACCTCTCCTGCTCTGTCATTCCGGAGGCGGTGGCGCGGAAGGCGAGAGGACGTACCTGAGTAGGCACTCCCAGCTGGGTGTCCGGGGACCGGAAGGGTGCTTGACGTGAGTGGTGGAGGTGGGGGCAGGGCCGCTGGAGGCGCGAACATATTGGGGTGGTGGGGGTGTGGCGACGGCTGGAGGGCGGGGGGGAAGCTGTGGGGCGCGCTCTGGTTGGGGAGGGGCAGGGGGAAGGCCGGGGCGGGCGGGTGGTGGGGTATGTGGGAGGGGGGAGGGGGTGCCACGTGAGGCTTGCCCGGGGTGCTGCTTCGGCTGCTGCTGCGAAGACAAAGAGAAAGTCAAGGCTGGAGCTGTGGAGGAATGCGCCCAGAGCAGACGCCCTGGAAAAGGAGGCCATAGCTTCCGACATAACATGGTTTAGCTCCTATTTATTTCACCTTTGCTGAGCACACCAGCCTTTTACAGATTTAATGAAAACACAACAAGAAGCCTGCTGACACGGCCTGTACTTCCACCTCATTAGTCTTGTAAATATGACACAGAATGCGACATCTTCAATGATGGTTCTTAAGTGGAGATTTTCACAAGGAACCTTGTGGGAAGTCGCATAAGGCGGCATTAAGAGTCTGTCATCTTTTTCACTATTAATTTTTTTTGCATTCCACTTTAAATGCAAATAACCACTCATGACATACATTATCAAATACATTTGTTCTAGCAGCGCTCCAGTTTAGCAATTCTGAAAGCTAGTTACATTTGCAAGAGGCAAGAAAGCCGTTTGGCATCTTATCGCTGGCTTTTCCTAGGAGACCACAGTCAGTATTTCAGCATCTTGGATGCTAAGCTGGGCAGCTCATTTGTACTGACTGTCTCTCCAGCTGTCCTTTAATTATTCACCGTCAAGACCACGAATCGAAGCAATAGGCAGCATTTGTGAAATGAGCACATTTAAGCTTTAAAAGAAGAAAATCAAATGGAGTAGAGTTCCCCAGTGTTCTGCAGAATATTTTAAATGGTGGCAAGTGTTTGGTATTCAGCAATAACAAAACAAGACAAAAAAATACCAGGATACAAACAAATGAGACTTGATAATTTGGAAGCTGGAGGCTATTTATGCGAGCAGATGACTGTGTGGGAAGCTAATACATTTAAAGTGGTAATCTCTCCGTTTGAGTGCGTTTTTGTTTTGTCTTTGGAAACAGTAATATTGTTTGGCATCATATGTCTGCAAAATTTGTGTTTTGCTCCCAGAATAGATTCACCACCAATCTGCTCGTATGCACAACACTACTACTCTAAAGTATTTTATTTTTCTGCTGGTATCTGCAAAACCTCATTAATGTCCATGTTATCCGCTTGTGTGGCACAGCCTCATTAATGCAATTTCCGTATCATTAGGGCCTTCTTCATTCCGTGTATCACTAATTTGATTTTTCATTGTTCTAACTCTGGAATATTTATTTGTAACTGCAGCCAGAACATGCACAGCTTCTGCATAGATTGACTCTGCTCAAAGTATGTACTAAATAGGAACCACCAATTAAATGAGAAATTCAGTGGCAACTCTGAAACCATACAAACAGTTCATTTCTGCATTTGCCAGGACATTTTAAACTGCTGAAAAGGGAACTTGATGTCAGGATGTCAGGTTTTATGTCATTTCGTATACATATGACCCAAGGGCTGTATACTAACCTTATGCTGTTGAGGCTGCTACTGTACGCAGACAGAGGCCTTTGGAGACTGCGAGAGGGAGGCCGAGGCTGGGCGGGAGGCAGACTCTGCTGGGCTGGGAGTACGGGAGAGTGGGCCTGCGGGTGGGGATGGGGGGGCAGGGAGGGGCGAGGGTGAGACGGGGGCTCAGGCTGCAGTTGAGGCTGGAGTGGAGGCTGTGGAGGAGCCGAGCGAGGTTGTTCTGGGGCCCGGGGGCCGGGCAGGGAGGCCGGAGACTGGGGCCGGAAGACGGGCTCGGGGGCCGGGGCCTGAGCCGGGGCGGGGGGAGGGAGCTCGGCCTGAGGCTCCACCGAGCGACGGGCCACAGGCTGGGCCTCCGGGGGCGGCTCCTTTGGCAGCGCCGGGACCAGCAGGGGGGTGTCTTTGCAGCTCTCCTGGCTCTTCTCCTGGCTTCTCTCTAAGCCAGACACCTTGGGGACACCCAGCGCTCTTGCTTCTTGGCTGTCATTTGTGGTAAGCGCATCGACGCTGAAATCCGTAACTGAAAGGGGGAAAAAAAAAAGCAAAAAGGAAACATCAGTGTGGCACTGGGCTTGCAACCACTTCTCAAAGTTCGTCAAGAACTGTCCTTTTCTGTGAATGACTTGCTAAATATTCAGTGCCTGTTCAGCTAATCTGACCGGTGATGAATATAAACACCTCTAATCACTTTAAAGCATTCAATTAAGACTCTTTGCTGGTCAAGGTTAATTAAAACAATGGCAGCATGTCTGTTTAGTTCTTTAATCTTGGTCGGAAATGAATTGTGGAGAAGAAAGACCAAGTCAAGTCAAGGTTTCAACAGTTTAGTACAAAAACTGGTATAGAAAAACGTAAACACCCTTCAGCAATTGTTGCTCAGAATTTAATTCTGTCTAATAGAAGACAGCTGTTGATTTAATATACATTCTTTAATTGCTACTAATGTTCTGTCTTTTCCAGCTTAGCAAGGTCTTCTAATGTGTGCAGACAGCAGCGCACAGCTGATAACCAGCAATTTACGCTGTAATTTGGACTTTAACCTGCTTTAAGGGGACACCCTGCAGAGACAGCATCTGTAGCTAGTTTATAACTGGTAGCAACTCATATTTCATGAGAACAGGGCTTACTTCATTTTTCAGAAGGGATCCAAACTACTTGATGTCAGGCTGGTCTACGTGTTTAGAACATCTAAACATGAGACATTCTTTCTTTTAAATATGTTTACTTGCGTGGACAATCCTAAAGTAGATTTTAGAACCAATTGCAATCCTGTCATGGTTCACATACGAAGTCCATTAGAAGCTAAAGTTATGGCTGCATTTTCCAAGATGCTAACAAAAAATGTATTGCTGGGAATTATCCAACCCAGGACTTGGCGCTAATAATCCATGATAAATAAAATTCATTTGGGAACTTGCAGAACCACGTTAAGGATGTTTACTGTAATTCATCTGCCAAAATATTAATCAGTGCAAGCTCTGCTCTGTAGTGTTACTGTGCTGTAACTGACGTGGCACAAAATGCTGGAATCAGGCAATGAGAAAGTAGATGCCTTGTTTGAATTGTCTTAGAATTCAGTTCAGCTCTTTAGATTGCAACATTAATGAGCAAGCCTTTACATGACAAAAACAATGGCTCATTTAATTTCTCTTTTACCTTCATCACCTATTGGCTTTCCTAAAAACATGTCAGTTGGAGGTCTGGTCGCAAACACTAACTGTATACTTTAAAGCAGTGAAACTCATGGGGACTGACTGGTGTATAGAACCCATAATTAACTCCCTTTTAAAAACCTCCTGTGCATATGAGTAGCTAAAGCTACAGCACGAAATGCAGTTCATGGGACTAATTCCCCTGAGGAAGTCAGTTCTATAGTGAAAGAACCTTTGGGAGTTCCATAATAGATTGCTAAGCCCTGAACAGAGCTCAGTACAGTACTGCTACCTGCTGTGCGAGTACCATTTCTATATTGCAACGTCAAACCACATAAGAAATATTACAGACGCCGCATTCCCTTGTCGACTCTAACATCATTAAATGTTGGGCATGATTTTTATCTGACTTGTGTGATGGATTTATTTGTGTAACAACAATTACAAAACAGCAGCCTCCTGATTAATCAATAAACCACTGGGTCAGTTTATCCACGGGTATTGTTTGTGTTTCGGGAACATACTCTTTCTACTATACTCAACTGTAAACCAACAAGTTGTAGCTTATTTCATGAAAAGTAAAAAGAAGAAAACACACAATGTTTCGGCTGTTTTTTTTTTCACACACTGAAAGCGCATCCCACACACTTGAAGAAGACTCAAAACAGTCTTTGTCTTCTTTCTTTATACTTTTCTGGATGGATTTAGCCTTTACTTGTCCCTTTGTAGCTCTCTCGCTGACACTGGCTGTGATGGGGACTGAAAAGTAGGTGACTAGATCAGTAAAGATTAACATCAACAACTGTACGTTTAAAATATTTTAGCAAATCTAGGTCAACAACATAAAACAGCAAAGACTTCAAAACATTCTATAAAAAGAGTAAACAATGGCTATTGTGGTGAAACTTGCCTGAAGTGATGAAAAAAAACAGCCAATGCATGTGATTTTCAGTTGGTAACATAAGTTGAAAATTAAAAACAAGCTCAGTTTAATTTGGATAAACTGAAATTTGGCCCAGAGCAGTCATTTCATTAAACCACAAGAATCTGTTTCTTTCTCTTTTTTTCCTTTTTTCAGTTATCCTTTAACTGAATCTCCAAGCTTACTGAAAAAAAAAACGTTTCAAATCCGTTTTGCTACATGCAGTATGTGACTAAGGCAAGTCTCTGCTACTTGCTAAGGACCTGATAAAGTCATTTTCTTAAGGGACTTTTATGGAAGATACCCAAAGCTCATTTGATGGAAAAAACGTTAGTTTCCCCACATTTCCTCTTTAAGGTCTGAAAGGTTGTTTTACGAATGTGCTAACATTGGTAAAGAATTAAATGTATTCTTTCCCGTAATGAAGACTCTGGGGTCCATGAAATGTGAGAAATCTGTAACTCACTTCCCTGGAGAATTAATTTGTCAGTCTTCTTGATCCCAGGAAACAAAATATGCAGATCTCCTTCTGTTGAAAAGAAAGAGCCCTGCTGCTTTCGTTTCAAAAAAATAAAAAGGAGAACGGACACTGTGTGTCACTCCTGTCATATATTAAAATCACACTAAAAACCTTCTGTCAATCGGAGATACGGCAAAAGAAAAGCTTGGAGAGAGATTTTCAGGTCCTGCAACATGGCTTTATGGTATCAGGTGCTGAACGATATTCTAGAAAACTCCCCATTAAAGACCCTTTTCACGCTTATTAACTGGCTATCAGCTGCTGCAGATTTAGGTCGGCATTTTTTTTTTTGACCACCGATTCACGCTTGGGATTTAAAATGTCTCACTGCGTTTATACAGTACCAGCCTAATTTTTGGCAAACTGCTTTTCAGGAATATAAATATGTAACACGAAAATACTGAATGCAAAAAATGGCAGGATAGATTCAGCACAAAAACGTGAATGATGCATATTTCATTCCTTGAAACACTGTTGGTACTCTACCTCATTACAACTTAAAGTAGGACAGTTTACTGTCCACTTTCTCTCTAAAACCTTCTCTCAGTACTGTGATTTATGAATTTCATTTTAGTGTTTGATGCCAACAAGTATCATTTGAAACAGGCACAAACAGTAAAATCTGTTAAGTGCCAGATGTGATCAAATGTTTTTTAATAAGGCATTTTTTTCAATATGGGGTTGCAAACTGTCACCACCAAAACAACAACATTGTCTTATGACAATTTGAAATCACATCTGTGCCCATTTTACACATTTTCTCTGAACAATGCAGAATACCTACCATATGGCAGGCTAAATATGTTGTTGTTCTGGTTCTATGTTACTTTATTGCATAGCTCTATCATCTACTTAAACACTTTTTCTAAGCGCAGTTGTATTTTGGCATTTAAAGGGACATTATATATTAAACAGCAGCTCTAATGTGTATTTGTTTCATAAAAATACACAATTACAGATTTTGGAATTATGGAGTGTACTACAAATATCATAAGCTTTGTACTTGTAATACTCACTCCAGTTTAACATTACACAGTGCTGAAATAAAATAATAAGCAGGTATGAGAGAAGTGGGAAGACATGCAGAGCTGTGACAACATGAGAAGGGAGATTTGAACCTGACCCCGCAGAAGAGACAAGAGTCCTGAACACAGCTGCTCAGAACTTTTGACCACCCTCACGCCTGAAGAAGGCTTAACACCCGAAACATCATGCTTTTTCTTTTACAGTTTGGGCCTTGCAGGCGAATCCTGTCAGGTCTCATGACCTAAGGAAAGCTGGTTCTGGTCGGTCTGATCAGTTACTCAAATGGAAGACATCTAAACCCAACCAGGTTGCTGATGTTATTGGTGAACACCATGATGACAGTCTCTGTTGTGACACTCTTCCCTCCAGAACTGAATTTCAAAGACTGTGGTTTTGTACTTTGACCAGGAGCTGTGAGGGCTGCCCTAGAGCTCCTGACTATTTAGTCATTATTCATAATCCCACAAGAGTAGGGGTGTTAAACCCGGCTAAATTCCACTCTGAAATAATTTCTTAGTCCCCCACCTGATATGTTGTGTAATGGGGCTGCTGGTGCAGAATGGCTGCCATGTGTCACCAATAGCACAGCTTCTCTGAGGACTGAATGCACATGTGAGGAAAGCACTGATTAAGTGATGGTGAAATCCCTCCAAATCAAACAGGACTTCTCATTTTCTAAAGGATGACTGGGACAAAGAGAAGAACCCTGGTGTTGAGTGAGAAAGATCTAGGCCATAACTGGCTTGAAACAATGCATGGAGCAGTCTAACTATGCAGCAGACACAATAAGGCATGGAGGCTTAGCAGACAAGCATGTGGGATAGTTAATTCAGTACCTCCTTGCGCTGAGCAGATTATTAATCCTATTTGTTTCTAAATAAATGCTATAAATGGAGCTCTTGATATGTGACTAACATATGCACTGCTTCCTCAAGACAGCTGTTTAACACCTATTTGAGTTACTAGATGCTGGGGTAAAACAGTGCTATCCTGTCACACAGCCTCAGGAAAACTACATTTAAATACCAAATGTAAAAACAATACACAAAAAGTATATGCAGAACTCAAGATTCAAAGTAGAAAGAAATTCTAAGTGCATGACATTCCTCATTTGCTTCACTGAACCCTTCTATGTCAAGCATCAAATTCAGGTAAAATGACTTAAAGAGCAGCACAGGAACTTTCATGGAAATATGCAAAGCATTCATGTACTCCTTAAAATAAAACATTTATTACCTCCACTAACTGAAAAAAAGTATTCTGTTCTTAAACCAGTGATTGAGCACAAAGTCTAAAATATAAAATACAGTCACTAAACTGATTTTTATACAGAACAAGTGTGCAGAGCTATGAATTCTGTTGCTTTTGTTTTACAAATATAGCACTTGGGAAATGTCCGG